CACGGGCTTCGGGCGCGGCTTCAGCTCCTGCTCCACTGAGGAACACCTGATATGCGGCAATAACAATGAGTTCCTCCATTTTCGTCGATTGAACTGGAAACAGTACCCATAAAACAGAGATAACGATCTCCGCCTGAAGAACTTAGGATCCGAGAACGAAAAATGGAAGCTGGATCCGCTCTGGATCTGATCCGACGCCAAGTTTTGATACCGCAACACCGGGATCTCCATAATTTAAAAAATGGAGCTAACTCAGTGAATCAGAAATGGAGCTGATGAAGAAAGAGGGTACCTTTGAAACGGGACTCCGGAGTCTCCGTTCAGCGAAACGACGACGTTGCGGTCGGGAAGAGAGGAACGGCGCCGTTTATGGTGGAAAGGAGAGTGATGGGGACGGAGGGGTCAGTGGTGTAGGAGAGAGGATCAGCATTGGGAATTCCGCGGGGAAGAGTCAGATGCGGGTAGTTCGAAGTTGCTCACCTTCCAACCGAAAACTTGCGGCTTTTCAGTCAAAATTGTGTCGGAGATTTCCATAACAACTTATTTTTATCCTTAAAGATTTGAAATCAATATAATTAAGTTTTTCAGTTTGTTCACAGTTAATCATTTTGATCATTTTATGAAAAATTTCTATAAAATAACAAAAATATCCTTAATTTTTGTCAAATCGTTTTAACCTATTGTTTATTATATTGAGAGTGATTTTGTCACTTTGATCATAACATAATTTTTCACTGAAAGACCAAAATAATTTATGGTGGACTATCTCAAGAATAACTTTTATTGATTTTAAATTTCAGGGACCAAATGAAGAGTTAAGTAAATCTCAATAATCATTTTACCTAAAAAGTCTTTGTGTGCGGGCTTTGAAGATGGAAACTAGAAAGTAAACGAAAACGATGCATTTTTAGCGGTCAAATCGATACTAAAGACTTGGACAATTAAGTATTGGTTAGGATCCAACCAATCTTTTTTTTTTTTTTTTTCTGGTATAAATCAATAAGAGGAGTAATTTTCGTACTCTGTAGCGTCTATTTTGTTTTTATGTAAATTTTATTTATTTGTTAAATTCAAGAATCTAACTGAGAGGGATACAAATTTTATTTTCTAATTGTGAAAAATAGACTTGTATCTTAAAGGGAGTATCGATTTTTCTTGATCGCCAACGATTCTCAATCATTCAATGTAAATCGTTAGATCAAATCAAATTGTTAAATATATGTGAGCGTTCAGTGTTTGTATGTACTCAAAATGGAAAAGCATGCACACAAAGTCTTGTGTTTGAAGTTTATCAGCTTTGATATTGCTCGTTTAAAAAAATTTACATATGCATAAAATACAAACAATTCCATTTAAATAAATACGTTGGCACATCAATCGTATATGTAAGATCCCACATCGTCCAGGGGTGAGGATTCTGTAAGCTTTATATATATATTCTCATCTCTACCTAGCACGAGGTCTTTTGGGAGCTCATAACTCCGAAGTTAAGCGAGTTCGGGCGAGAGCATTCCTAGGATGGGGGATCCACTAAGAAGTTCTCGTGTGAGTTCCCAAAATCAAAATCATGAGGGCGTGGTGGGGGCCCAAAGTGGACAATATCGTGCTACGGTGGAGTCGAGCCGGGGATGTGGTGGGGGCCTAGGCAGAGATGTGATAATTTGGTATCATAGCTAATCCCTAGCCGGAAGTGTGCCGATGAGGACGTCGGGCCTCTAAGGGGGGTGGATTGTAAGATTCCACATTGCCCAAGGGTAAGGATCATGTAAGCCTTATATGTATATTTCCATCTCTACCTACCACGAGGCATTTTGGGAGCTCATTGGCTTCGGAGTTCATCGAGACTCTGAAGTTAAGCGAGTTCGGATGAGAGCATTCCCAAGATAGGTGACCCACTGGGAAGTTCTTGTGTGAGTTTCCATAAACAAAACCATGAGGGCGTGCCCAGGGCCTAAAGTGGACAATATCGTGCTACAATGGGGTCGAGTATGAGATGTGACAATTTTTAAATTTGGATTGTTTTATGACTGCATCTAACTGTCTTGTTAGACTGCCTACGTACCCTCAAATAGGATCAAGTCATTCGTAGTTCAATTTAGTACTTCACAGCATTCATAGTAATTATATGCCAATAATATGCATATAGATATACCATAATGCAATCTAAAACTCAACCATACCATAATATTGTAACATATATATATACACACACACACGTACATACACACACACATCGTCCAGGGGTGAGGATCCTGTAAGCCTTATATGTATATTCTCATCTCTACCTAACACAAGGCTTTTTAGGAGCTCATTGGCTTCGGAGTTCATCGGAACTCCGAAGTTAAGCGAGTTCGGGCGAGAGCATTCCCAAAAGGATGACCCACGGAGAAGTTCTCATGTGAGCTCCCATAAACAAAACCGTGAGGGTGTGGCTGGGGCCTAACGCGGACAATATCATGCTACGGTCGATTCAAGCCCGGGATGTGGTGGGGGCCCAGGCCGGGATGTGACATTTTGGTATCAGAGCCAATCCCTGGCCAAAAGTGTGTCGACGAGGATGTCGGGCCCCTAAGAGGGGTGGATTGTAAGATCCCATATCCCTCAGAGGTGAAGATCATGTAAGCCTTATATGTATATTCTCATCTCTACCTAGCATGAGGTCTTTTAGGAGCTCATTGGCTTCGGAGTTCATCGAAACTCCAAAGTTAAGCGATTTCGGACGAGAGCATTCCCAAGATGGGTGACCCACTGGGAAGTTTTCGTGTGAGTTCCCAGAAACAAAACCGTCAGGGTGTGGCTAGAGCCCATAGCGGACAATATCGTGCTACGATGGAGTTGAGCCCATGATGTGGTGGGGGCCAGGGGCGGGATGTGACAGTATAAATATTTACTAACTATACACTTTACTAGTGGTAACGAGTTTTATTTACGTGATTGTGCATGATTAATTTACGATACCGTTATCATAAATAATAATTTGAAATACCAAACGATTTAAAATACCATTATCAAGAACAACATGATTGATTTGAAATACCATTTTTTTGTGTAGCGATAATGACAAGTACAAAAAATACAAATATTTATGTGAATGTACATGATTAATTTGCAATACCGTTATTATAAATAGTAAATTGAAGTCGAGCTCAAGATGTAGTAAGGGCTCGAGCCGGGATGTGACAGTATAAATATTTACTAACTATGCACTTTACTAGTGGTAGCGATTTTTATTTATGTGATTGTGCATGATTAAATAAATAATAATTTGAAATACCAAACGGTTTAAAATACCATTATCAAGAACAACATGATTGATTTGAAATACCGTTTTCTGTATAGCAATAACGACAAGTACAAAAAATACAAATATTTATGTGAATGTGCATGATTAATTTGCAATACCGTTATTATAAATAGTAAATTGAAATATCGAGCGATTTAAAATACCGTTATCAAGGACAACATAATTGATTTGAAATACCCTTTTTTGTGTAGCAATAATGACAAGTACAAAAAATACAAATATTCCTAACTATACACTTTACTAGCAATAGAGAGTTTTACTTATGTGATTAAAATGGGACACGTATTACACTTTCTAAGTCAACCACACAATGTTACGCGTCTGAACTTTCCCGCTTGATTGTGCATTAATTTAAAATATAGTTATCATGCATTGTAATTTGAAATACCGTTACCGTGTCATCCCAAATGCAAAAGAGTTCATTGATTTTACCATTTTTGGGAAGAAATAGAAAACAAAAGTGAATTTCACTAAAGAAAAATGAAACACCACCACATTTTCATGAACGCTTCAAAGGAAAGGAAACCTCCTTTATGCCAACATGTACCCTTTCATCTTTCTCAAAACAAAACAAGGTTCACTAGTACTCCAACTACAAGCATTCTCTACATTCCTGCAAGCGTAAGGTGAAACCATGTCAAAACTTCCCCCAAAGCAGATATCGTGAACGTTAAACTCAAACAACATAAACTCAAACGTATATGCAAAGTCCACCGTGAATTTCTTCGAGAATTTGTCTAGGAAACCATGTACCGCCACCCACCCATGTGTGCAGATGAACTGGTAGAGCAAACAAGGAGTATTTGATCTGAAAAAAACCTATCAACCGTTGCACCGTCTACTTCTTTCTAACCTAAGCCATGACAAGGGAGGAGTTTCAAATTCGAAACTCTGTTACTCTTGAGCAGAATGAGAAAGCCTCAATCTCCTTTTGAACACAAGAGGAGATATCAAAGAATTTAGTACTCCCTCGGCGTAATGGTACTGAGAAACATGATTCATCGGAAACCTACACGAGGGAGCACGCCTTGCAATTGCAAATGAATTAGGAATGCATCTAACATTTCACTGGCAACCTACAGCATTGACTTTATGATAAAGCTTAAAGCTAAACTGAAGCAGAATTAATTACTCAGATGATAGCAAAGCCAAGTAAATTATACAGTGTGGTGCAAACATGAGTAGACAAAGCATATCATAACCGGATTCAAATCAAATGTTTAGTTCCTTCGGGGAATCGCATTGAGTTTACCTCAACAGTTTCCACTCATCAAACCGGAACATCCAAGCCCAGTTTCCAGATTGCTGTCATGATACGAATGAAAAAGTAACCTGCTTTTACAAGTTTATATGGCCAAGCAAGCTGTAAGTTTCAACAAAAACTGAAAAATCACAGAATCAGAGGCCGCCCCTCTGCAGTTAAAGTATACTACACTGCTCCTAGTCTCCTAAGCACTGAAGAGTGAAAAATCTATTGAACTTCAACATAAACAAAAACATTACTATTGAATCTCTTTTGCTTTCAGGGTCAGGACATATGCAAATGCAGAGAAACCATTTCAAGACAATCTTACCTCATAGAAGAATCATATCTTATAAACGAAAATAAAAAGAACCGATCAACTGCATCAATGAAGGACCAAATTCAAATTTCAGATTCAAAAACTTTAGGGAAAAACATATAACCAAAAGGAAATGAAATTAAATAAGGGATTGTTATATATTCCTCACTATAACCAAGGGTATATAATCCTTACAAATTATTCCATGAGCTAAGCTTATTTAAAAACAACACTGTGTTCCGAGAAGACGGCCTACAGAACGGCACTCTTCTTCTCTGCATTATGACTACTCCTTTACTCATAATTTGTCCCCCCTATGGTTTGATAACCACATCCAATCCTACTTCTTGATCCTTTTAAGCTTCTTCGGTCCCGGAACTTCCAATCTACCAACAGAACACCCGCACCTAGCCCGAAACAAGAGCACTGCTCTCCCATTAGTAGGTGCCATCTTCTTAAGCTCGGCCTCCAATTCGCGGTGGTGATCGCGAGGCAATTCGAATAGGCCCTTCTTCACTCCGTCCTTAACCGCCGAAGCTGAATTCTTCACGCACTCCTCCGTCTCTAGTTGAATGTCGAATTCAGCTGCCTTTCGGAGGCCCTTGCAATTGGGATTCCCACACTTCCTGCTGGTGCAGGCCAGCAGCGCCCAAGCGGCCAATGCCGCACAGCACATGCTGAGTCCCATACATCCGTACACCAACGGAGCATTCGAAACCTCCTCCCTCAGCACATACATGATTATTTTCACAATTTCAATTGTCTTAACAGATACAAATTTTACATACGGCAATAGCAAATATCCAAAAGCAACAACCACAGCAATAAACAACACAATATCGATCATCAAAGCCCATCGAGATCGATCGCAAGACGGAGTCTTTGAGCAATTGGGGGAATTGGGTATCTTTCTTCTTCCTTGAACATGGTTGGTTTGCCTGGATTTGGCACTTGGGTCGGTTAAACTCATTGAATCCGCCATGGGAGTGTTTGGTTGGTCAACGGAGTTGCAGACCGAGATTGAGCTATGGATATATACCATTTCAAATCGAACCCAGAACTTTGATTTCCAATCCAATCAGCCAAAAAGGATTAAAATTCAAAACTCACCAACCTATACCGAAAAATCAGATCGACCGACCTCGCAAAAAATCAAAACAAAGAACAAGAATCCAATAGCACCTGACGATCCAATAGAACCACTCGTCGGTGCCCCGAATTGAATCCGAATCAAAACCAATCAATCCTGCTTCGACATCTCAAATTCTTGAATCCGATTCAAACAGCTAAGAGCTTGAGATATCAATACAGAGACACAGAAAACAAATTGAGAGAGCTGGAAAAGTACGAATTGGGTTGGGATGCGATAGGCCGGCTCGAAAAGCAGAGAAAGCAGAGCGCACAAGGAAGAAGCATTTACTGGTTTTTATCACATTTTTCTTCTTCTTCCGGTATGAACTAGTAAAAGTCTCTCCCTCCATCCCGCTCTGGTGCCTTTATACACGCAATGGAAAATCCGAAGGGACACGTTGTGTGGGATTACGTGGGCTGCTTCTCAGATGGGCTTTTGATATTTTGGCGCTGCCACACGATGATGTGTGCATGATTTTGTGGGGCAGTTCATTGGGCTTGGCCCACTTTTGCTTAATTTGCAATATTTAATGAAAAGGAATTCTCTCCGGATTCCTTCCTCCTAATTCATCAAATCAGGAAATAGTGATATTGAAATTTAATCTAACAGTTACAAGTATATGTCCATTTTAAAAGTTAATCACTTCAGCCGTTGGATCAAATTTTAACGGCACGGATCTTCTGATTTGATGGATCATGAGAGGATCGCTTTTCGTTTAATAATTAAAAACTATTTTATTTTTATTTCTTTTAACTTTTGGTCAAGAGGGTGACCAAGTCACCCATCGACGAATTTATGGAAAAGAAACCAACTTTCGTGACTGATTTGTCCTCTTTTTCTCACACTTTCGTGAAAAAGTGTTCTTGTTTAGCGAATTATTAATTTTGATTGGGAACCGAGTTAGGATTTTAGGATTTGGATCTTCTCTTGAGGTAATGGAAAGTATCCTCCTGATCAATCATCGTGAATCGTTGAATTTTTATCCAACACTACAAATAGAGAGTCCTTTTAAAGTTATAATGATTGTAGCCATTGGATAAAAATCCAACGGTCCACGATTATTGATCAGGAGGATTCTCTCCATTAGCTCAGGAGAGGATCCAAATCCAAGATTTTATTTGAGAGGTCATAGTTTAACATAAAATGTTTTGATTCTCTACAAAGTAAATTATAGTTTGTACTTTTAAATTTGAGTACAATTGCAATCCAATACTTTACTTTGAAAATCTGTTATGTATGACATTTGTTAGAAAATATGTTAAGAAATGACATGACAAGATAAAAAAAATTAAAATAAACTAATTAATAATAATAGTAATATGGGCCCCACCTTCTTCTTCTCGTGCCTATTTAAAACTAGCCACACCCACACATCCCTCTGAAGAATGCTCCACGACCCAACTCCTCAGAGACGTTGAAAGACCTTTGTTTACTAATACATAAAATGAAAAAAATATGAGTTTCCGTTAAAATTTATAATCCAATACTTCAAAAATTATGAATTAAATTAGTCTTTCTCAATTCATAAATCTTCATTTCAAATAAGTAAACATGTCATAAAGGAATAAAATAATCTTCTTTGAATGAGTAGTTTTTCTAAACCGGTCGAACAATCTAACATTTTTTAAATAAAATAATACAGCATGTTAAATTTGTCTTCTATATATGCAATTTTGATACGTTCTAATATTCATATATCGAATTAAATATGTTTCCATTGATGAAAAAATGCATTTCCTTGTGGGGAAATATACCAAAACAAGTGACAACGGAACGAAGCGATAACGAAATGAAGAATTTACGCGTTTGAGTTGGGAAATGGGAAAGCCAATTGGCATATTTTTCAACCAAATGGACGCACCATATCCTCCATTAGCCGTGTTGCCCTTAACCTTCTTGACCTTTTGATGAGTGCTTCTCTTTGACGTCAAGTCATGTTTCCGGTCAACTATAATGCGCTGTATTTTACTTTTCAAAACCAATGATATTTGTGTGAAAAAGATCCCATGAAAGGTACACTTAGCCGTATCGATGCGATCGTTACATTTAAAAATTTAGGAAAAAATTGAAATAGGTCCAATTTTATAGACTACCTTTTGAAATATGTCTAATTTTTAGTGACTTTTGACTTTTGAAATAGGTCCAATTTTTAGTTACTTTGGACATATTTCCAAAAACCCCAAAAATTTATTTTTACGCATACTTAGACGGTTTAACATAACATAGAGGTTGTGCAAAATGAGAATGTGTTGTGTGTGTGTGTGTGTGTGTGTGTTTTTTTTTTTCTCAAGAAAGAAAATAATATTAGATAGTGTGATTGTAATCACAACCAGTGCCGTTCCAATCAAATAAGAGAGTTTTCTTTGCCACGGAAGGCAAGGTCCTAACCAAAGAAGTTTGCCTTCGTGATACATCTTTCTAGGATGTAGAGTCAAAAGAAACCGCAACTGCTTTGATGTAAAGTTGATTTTCAGATGAACAGCTCACGTTGGCTTCCATCTTATTTTCAGATAATGTGACGCTAACAAATGAACTCTAGCAGATGTAGATTTACCATTCATAAGCACCACATTGTTTCTATATTTCCAAATTTGCCAACAAATTAACAAAGCCTTACTCAACTTAGAGAGGCTCTCACCATCTGAAACATCAAGCTTTAGAAGCCAATCAATTAAACCAACATGATTACCATGTGGTACCACAACAATATTGTATTAAACTACCATACCACAACAATATTTGATAACACATAAATTGATTAAACTAAGTAGCTGCGTTCGTAGTACCACACTATATTTTTCAAGCATGACAGAATATAACTAGCTTAAAATACCGTTTAATGATTCTAAACATTATGTTGTATAGAAGTTCTTCACGATTTATAGGTACTTTATTTATCGGCCTTGACCTCATAATCTACCATGTCAACAAAATTCATCCTGGCAGCCACAATTTTACGATATTTAAAATTTTATTCTTTTCAAATACCATTGCTTTATTTTATTTTTTTACCTAAAAATGGTAAAGCCAAAATGTTGCACAAGGTTAGAAATAGGTTTAAATTATGCTTCTCTAACCAATGGGGTTATCTCATCACAAAATCTATGCACCATTAATCATTAATTCCTTTTATCCCGCCCAAATTAGTAGACCAAACTACAAACAGACACCAAGCCCAATTCTTTTCAACAAAAAGCCCAATATCAAATCTTACAACATGAAAGCCCGATTCACACTTTTCATTTTACAAGACTTATAAAAAGCCCTTCAGATTAAAAAAATTATAAAAAATTCAGGCTCTTTAAGGAAAGAGATCTCTAATTCTTTTTTTCAAACTATAGGAATTAGTTATTGGGCAATTTCACAACGCGTTGGAACCAGTTGAGCCTGCGAAGCAAATTTTTTTTTACCATAGACAATTAATTATCACCGCCATTTCCTTATTTCCAAATCAAAATAACAATTCACACGCTGAATTTCCTTTATTAAAGTGTCAATTGGCCGAGGTACTTCACAACTAAGATTGATAGCATCAATGACATGAACAAATACACTAATCACAATAAAATTAAAGAATTGTTATAGGCGTTCCAAAAATTTCATTTTGCACTCCAAACTCTCTATAATTAGTAAGAAAATTACACTTGTGAGAAATGTAGAGTATGATTTTTAGAATATTAATAACAGTTTTCCAAAATTATGCTACAGATACAATTTCAACAAACGCTTTTGGCCCTTTCATATTCCTTAGTGGACAATCTAATCTATAGTCAAACTTTTTTGTTTGAGTGCCTAATCGCATCATTAAACGATAAGATCAAAACAAAAATGCATTTTTTTTGCAAATAAAATACAAATTAAAGTATGAAAAAAACAAATAAAAATGAACCTTAACACAATATTTATTTCAGGCCAAAAGAATCAATCATAAAAAATTAAACAAAAATAAATTAACATGTGGTTAGCAAAAAGCCAAAAACATAAAAATAAAAAAAATTTATATTCCATCTAATCAGACGGCTACGCGTCACACGAAAAAACTAAAAGAGATGATCCGGCTTTCGTTGGGTACACGTGTGCGCTCCAGGAGAGATGTCTATCTCGAAAGGGAAAATCACAGCCTGTAGCAGAAGATTCTTTTAGGCGCTTCGCCCCAAGGGCCAGGAGATGCTTCACACGTGTACCTCACTAGACACGTGTGACGAATGTAGTGGACCTGAATCATTGGGTTGGCGTTTGGTGACTTTTCGCTTTACTTTTTAGGCGGGGCCCACTAAAAGTATGGTCTGACCTGGCACCTTTTCTCTACTTTTAATGCCTAAATACTTTTTATTATTTTATTATTTAATTTGTAGACCTGGTTTTCTACGTCAATTTACTGCAACTACAAGGTAAAGACTAGGCGAAATTCCGTCTTTTTTATATAATAAAAAATAGGGAAAAAAAAAAAGTACTTTGCGGTTTACGCTATAATTTGACCTTAAAGTCCTTAAAATTGAGTAGAATTTCAAATCTTAGAATTTGGGAATTTGATACAATAATTTACATGTATTTCTTACAATTATTGTATGACGGTCACATATAATTCATGTAAATATATATACTCATGTGATTATCATCCGACTGTCGAGATGATGATTATATTAAATACATGTAAGTATTGTGACTAAATTCAAAGTATCATTATCAAACTATCAAACTATACTCATATTTAATTTCAGGACTAATCTATCATACTTACATATATTTAATACAAATGTCATCTCAATGAGATGATAACTATATTAAATAAATTGTATTAAATAAATTTGGTGCCACATTTGATTCCCCTTAATAATTTTTTTTTATAGATATATCTAATTCCCCTTTTTTTAATTGAATAAGTCCCTCTTGCTGAGAAAAGTCTAAAGAGGTTAGGCAATTAGCAACATTTCATTTAATAGAAATGGGGAAGAATGCTAGTTTTTAATGTAATATATTTGTAACCTTGAATTTAGTAAAGTTAATTAAAATAATATACTTTATTTTCTACATACAAGTTGAAATTTCTATCTTCCTAGATTTTATAAATTTAGTGTATACAAATTTAAAGTGTATACAAATTTAGTGTATACAAATTTCTCTCTTTAAAAACTAAAGAGAGAAAAATTTAAAGTGAATACAAATTTTTCGGAGATATATAAACACTAAGTTCAGTAATCAAGATTAAATAGTGAATAACGAACGCACTTGCTTAATTTAATTTAACTGAATAGTTAACTCAATTAAGGTATCAATAATTACATACTCGTGCGCGTGAATAATTGACGTACGGGAAAGGCGAGGATTTGAAGACTAAATGGAAATTGGATCCAACTTTATGAGACTGTTCTTCCATGACCCAAAAGATGTGTTAAAGTAGATGGAGATGGGGTGGGCGTGGGGGGCAAAAAGCAAAGACAGAAAGAAAAAACACAGAATAAAAAATCTTTTTCAAAACCACAAGTAAACTTGTGGCTCAGAATTCCCCCCCCCCCCTATGACGTGGTGCACCACCTCCATAGACAGCTGAAGGAGAAAGACGACGAACGTACACACTCTCTCTCTCTCTCTCTCTCTCTCTCTTCACATATGCACAGCGAGCACACAACGTGTCAGATCTTTCGTCGATTTCTCTCCATCTCTCTGTTTTTCTCTTCGAAATCGAACTTTTGGTGAAAAAGGATAAAGAAAGAAAAGGATAGGAAAGGAAAAGAAAAGCGTAGCAAAAATGTCGGAGGCAGCAAAGGACCCAGCGATCAAGCTTTTCGGGAAGACGATCCCGGTGCTGAGCTCCGACGGCGACTCGGTCGGAGTCGCCGGGGGTCCGGAACCCTATCTGCCGTCCGGAACTGTCGCGGAAGAGACTGTCGATCAGGACCGCGCCGCCGCCTCCTCCAACTCTTCGCCCGAAGTCAATACCCAAAGAGAACGGGAGGAGAAAGAGGTCAATGACAACAAGGTAATGGGATTTGGGGATTTGGGTGTCCGAAATTTTCAATTTTTAGTCTCGAACATTGCTTGGAAGCTCGAAAGGATTCATGGGTTGCTTTCTATGGAGGATTTTTGTTGACTTTTTGGTGTGCTACTCTGGTTTTTGCTTTTGGGGGCTTTCTGGGATTCTTTTCAATTGCTTTCTGAACATAATTTTTGCTTTTGTTTTGCCTCTGGGTTCTTAATCTTATGAATTTGTTTGGAGATTGCTGGCTTTTGTGAACGGAATAAGATTGTTCAAGCTATTCGGTTTTCTTTTGTGTTTTCTGCTGGTGATTAATCAAGCAAGAAACTTTAATTTGCTGTTTCAAATGGGGTTGCTTCCCACTTGCTCATTTTTTCATTTCTGGCTTCTTTTGAAATTTGAATCGAGGGTTTAATGAAATTTGTGTGAATAAATGGATTTCCTTTATGATTTGTGGCAGTTTGGGGTTAGCTTGTGTTTCGAAACTTTGCGTATTTTACATTTCTGTTGGTGATATCGAATTCTAGTTTACACAGCTTGTTCATAGTTGCTTCTTCCGTTTGGGGGTTGAAAAGATTTGGAAAAATACTCCTCAAACAAGCTAATCATTTTGTCCTCCTACCGTGATGCATTCGGAGGCGAAACTTCTGTTTTCTAGTGTTGATCTCTACTTCAGCCTGCCTGCTTATAATACTTTCCCGTGGCCAACGCGCTACTCGGATGACATATGAATATCCGGTGCTATTTTACTCATTACATAATCTTATGTATTGGCAAGTCCTCACCTCAGGAACCTTTATGTCGTGTTTTCTTTTAAGCGTTAGAGTTTGATTTTCAACATAGATCGGTTTCAGACTCTTTTTGTATGCATTAGTAACATAGTAGACATAAAGGATGAATGCAATAGTTTTGTTTATATTTTAATAAGACAGTTTTGAAACTCATCTTCTCATTTAATTTTTTTGATCAATCAGGACACATTCGGAGAAAAACCAATTCAGGCGAAACAGGAAAATGGAATCACGACATTATCTTCGGAAGAGTTGACAAAGCCAGATGCGGCATCCATAATAGGTGTAAACCCTGAATCACCTGTTGAGAAGGAGAATGCCACATTAAAGACAGAGAAGACTGAGGAAGAACAGAGTGAGACAGTAATGCGCAGGATAAGACCCTGAAGAAACCAGATAAAATACTTCCATGCCCCCGCTGTAATAGTATGGACACTAAGTTTTGTTACTACAACAATTACAATGTCAACCAACCCCGGCACTTCTGCAAGAACTGCCAGAGATACTGGACAGCTGGTGGGACAATGAGGAATGTGCCTGTGGGTGCCGGTCGTCGTAAGAATAAGAATTCTGCTTCTCACTATCGTCACATAACAGTCTCTGAAGCTATGCCGAATGCTCAAGCTGATGTTCTCAATGGAGTTCACCATCCTTCAGTAAAACCGAATGGTACTGTCCTAACATTTTGCGGGGATATGCCCCTCTGTGAATCAATGGCTTCTGTCCTTCATCTAGCTGATAAAAATATACAGAACTGTACGCGTAATGGATTTCAGAAACCTGAAGGATTGAGGATTCCAGCTTCTTATGGAGGTAGAGTAAATGGAGATGATCATTTGACTGGATCAACGGTGACAGATTCAAATTCAAAGGATGAAGCGTGCAAATCTGGATCACAAGAGCAAGTATTGCAGAATTATCAGGGCTTCCCACCTCAAGTACCATGCTTTCCTGGGGCTCCTTGGCCTTACCCTTGGAACTCCTCCCAATGGAGCTCTCCTGTCACACCACCTGCGTTCTGCCCTCCAGGTTATCCTATGCCCTTCTACCCTGCAGCAGCTTATTGGGGTTGTGCTGTGCAAGGCCCTTGGAATATCCCTTGGCTTCCTCCGCCATCATCTTTAAACAACAGTGCTCCAAGTTCTGGTCCCAACTCTCCCACCCTGGGGAAACATTCGAGGGAAGAGAACACCATGAAACAAAATAGCTCCGAGGAAGAGGAGCCACCAAAAGAAAAGAGTGCCGAGAAAAACCTTTGGATTCCAAAAACTTTGAGGATTGATGACCCTGGAGAAGCTGCAAAAAGCTCTATATGGGCAACATTGGGGATTAAGAATGATAAGGTTGACTCAGTTAGCAGCGGGGGACTCTTCAAGGCCTTCCAGTCAAAGGGCGATCAAAAGAATCATCCCTCCGATGCCTCTCCGGTCTTACAAGCCAATCCAGCGGCGCTGTCTAGATCACTCAATTTCCAGGAGAGCTCGTAAAATCGGTAGCTTATTTTAAACTTCTTGTTTGCTTCAAGTGATTCTAACAGTTCAGCAAAGCTCAACTGCTCCACACAATATGACACCGCCTTTCTACGCCCAGCAGTCTCGTTGATTAACCATCCTCGGCCACAAAACCAAATGTCAAAGCCGTCAATGGAGGAATATAAGAGGAGGATTTTGCGGCCTTTTCACTTAATTAGGAGCTGGGAGCCAACTTACCTTAAGCTGAAATAGCCACTAATTTTTCCCCTGCGAGTGCTACTATGAATATTTGCAACGTATGTATTTTGAGTTAGACGGTTTGCTTGAGTTCTTGTACATATATTTACATGTAAATTGAGAACTAGAAGAGTTCAGGTTTGTGTAGCATAATCCCAAATATGTACTTAAATAACTTTGGGGATTCAAATGAAAAACTTCCTTTTCATTTGTGCTTTTAATTGAAGATCTAGGTTTTTTATTTTTTTTATTTTGGGTTATTATAGCTTATATCCACGTAATGGGTGACGCTGAGCAAATAATGCTACTCGCTTTGCAAGAGTTGGGAGGACGTCTATCGTACGGAGTTTTACTCTTGTTGTTTCAAAAGATTGTTTTCATGACTTGAACCATAACCTTTCAATCACAAAGTGATTGTTTTCACGGCTTGAACTCGTGATCTTTCAGTTACAAATGAGCAACATTTTTGTTGTGTTAAGACTCACCCTCAATACTCTCGAAACTAGAAATGTGTCAACAAAGTTGGAGTAGTTGATTTGATTCTCGTTCTCTACTTTTGATACTCCCAAGTTTCTCAATTCACGACTTCTTTCATTCATCTTAAGTAAACATGACCGATTGGAATGAAAGGAAGTCAATGGCATAATTGACTTAAAGAATCTGAGATGAATAGTAATACATATGTTGGCCATTTTTCTAGTATAATTAACAGTATGATTGAGGATGCGGGACGCGTGCGGGATGCGGTTGGAGAGAAATTTACAGGAACTGTGGCACCATAATAGTAATATCATTGTATGTGCCAGCTTATGATGTGAGTTACCACTATTGTGACATTATAGTTGCATGTAAATTTTATTCATAGAATGTGGGATTCAACTATTTTGAGGATAGAAAAGACTAGAGATCACCATGTTCGTAGATGGAGAGATATTTTAATGTGTTCAGAATACGGACGGTACGTTATATGCTATTATACAAGTAGAGTAAAATTTAATTTTAAGTGTCTTTCCACTTGTATAATGATATATAACATATGTGCTCGTGTTCCAGACATGCCGAACTGAAGGGCCAAGTACACTTTCCATTCAAACCAAAAGACACCAAGTTCATCTTTTAATGCAATACAGCAAAGCATGTAGAACAAAAGGCAAGGGAAAGCAAGATATCATGAAAAAGAAATTCGAAACCACGCAACATGTAGTTGGATTTGTACTTGGGAGTAAATCATGTCACGTTTTGGGACGTAGCAACCAAAATCTTCAAAAGTAAAATGTGTGACTGCAAAAAAAGAACATTTTGTGATACTTTAGGCTTAGGGTATTTTTGGAGAAACGTTGACCACCAGTTTTTGGATGGCTCAAGGTTGCTGGTCTTGGAGTTGGGACCCCATGCATGTGAGTCTTCTTGGTCCCCCCCTTTCCTTTTGTTATCAGTTAAATTCGTAAAGGGAAATTTGTTTGAGGTTGAGGAGAAAAACTTTCAATACGAGCGGTCGGTTTGTCCACGCTCCCACGTCCATCACATACATTCACCTATATGAAGTCGAATGGTACATACAAGGGTACATTCTCTTACGAGAATACCTAATTTTGTAAATCTCTCAAACATGAATTGTCATAATTAAATTGTTTATGAACTATTGATCTTAATATTTTCGAGATCATATTCACATGATATTACTAATATATTAGGTAGCTTTGGAGTGTTGATTAGAGATCATTGAGATTTGTGACTTGTAAAGTCAACTCATTTGGGAGTACTATGGGTTGTCTGGTTCTTTCCAAGCCATTAAGCTGTAAACAGTAAACCAATCCGCTGAGAGGGAGGTCGAAGCTTCACTTTGCCTGGAAAGCAAGAAATATATAGAGTTTATTAGATGAAACACCAATGGCTTCCTCCTTTTAATTATGAGAAATTTAAGTTTGATTAATATTGACTTGACGTAGGTCTGGATGATCATGTTATTGAGATAGTATCTCAAAACAACCATGCATACGTTTTAACTTTACCGAATGATATTGCATGATTAACTTGATACAACTACATTGACATATTCCCCTAACATGGAAGTCATTTTCCAACATTCTCCACCATATTTTAAGTAGATTTAAGAAAGTGAAAGGCTTAAAGAACAAAGAAGAACCTTGGCAGCCGTGGCGAAGATTAAAAATGGAAGGGGCTAAGCATGGGGCATTAATGTGGGTTAACACGTGCGGAACTGATTAAAATCCATAATCCCACTTGCAATCACTAATATTTTAAGGTTTAATGGTGATCATATGAAGGATTAATCTCCATTTCCTTTCACTACCTCAGAAGCTTACTAATAATAAGCAAACTTATCCATGTCAATTAATCTCTTGAAATTGAAAACAGATAAAAGAAGTCAACTTTCAGTGTCTCAGGGTTCCTTTTTTTTTTTTTTGTCTAGTGTCTCGGGTTGTATGAAGCTAATTAATTTGATTAATTATTCGATTCACTGACTTAATTCTGAGTTCAAATCTTCTGTACTCATTTTGTGTGGCCCTTATAATTAATTGTCACGTGTTAATAAGCTTAATCATTCTTCATTTTATTGTCATACTTTTAACATATATCAGTCAATGAGATAACCATAAACAAAACAAGTGCCGAAGATTTAAACTCGGAATTAAGTAAAAAAGATTGTGTATAATCCCAATGTCCTAATTATTAGAATTTGAGTTCTCTCACAGCAGCTGTTTTGGGATTTTCTTTTCCCTGTAGCAAGGAGCCTTGGATTTGTTGCCTCTGATGTCTTTTGATTACCATCCCAAAATTGTTTCACAACGAAATATCGGGACGTTAAACAGAGTAGGGGGATTTAGCTCGAAGAGGAAACGAGTTCTTGATTTGATATGCACCAGGGGTTGCTTCGATTGGTTACAGGGACGGTCATTAGGTAATTTCGATTTTAGCTCCTAGCTCTGAAGAAGTAAACTTTAATGACAAAATTTTCACTACACTATTTATTCTGTATTACATTGTTTATTTTTTTAAATAAAAATTAAGCATATTAAAAATATGATACAATAAATATGGTGCGAATAATAAGGTCTTTCTAGCATATTTTTGTAAAGACTAGATAGAGGAAAGTGATTAAACTTAATAATTCCTATAAAATGATTTTTTTTATTTTCAAAATAACCAAATCATACCATATTTTGAACTACGTGAGCTCCAATACGTGTTATACAAAATTTCAGTGTCCAAATTTTTTAATTGTGTATGCGAATTTTGTCCACTAATCGTCAGATACACTGTTAAAGTTTATTAATAAATATCATTGCTTTACAAATATTAGAAAAAAAAATGGTACTAGAAAGATTCAGTGAGTTACAGTTGGGATGTTCATTCCCTCTGATCAGTATCATTTAAAGGGAAACGCTAAAGAAATTATTTTAAAAATAATATTTTTTATAAATTCTCTAACATCTTATATTTTATATAATTTTTATAACATTAACAATTAACGTTAAACTATGAGATGTTAAAGAATCTATCTCACTTCGAGATAATCTCTTCAGCATTTCTCTCGTAGATAGTGTCCTCTCTATATTTCTCTTTTAATTTCGGGCGGTAAAGCATAATTTCTGACCTCCTCAGGTAGTTGAGTACAACTAGGGTTCTTGAAAGTATCAACCTCTGTGCACCTTTATCCCCAGCCAATAATCTCCTCATACATATATTTTTTCAACGTATAATTTACCAATAATCTCCTTACTCTCCAAATTTAACTCTCTTGTGATCAGATCTGAAAGCTCGTAAGTCGATTTCCTGGAAACTCAAAAGCTCCAGCCTTTCGGCATCTCTTCCTCAAACCTCATCAAATCCCAAGTCGTTTTCAGAATTCTGAGAGCTACCCAATTCCCAGAATTCTGCAGGAAAAGATGGGTCGCCGATGGTTTCTGAGATTTCTCTTAGTTTCTTGCCTTCTCGCTCTTTTTTCAACTCACGGTAAGCAACTCACACTGTAATGTTTAATACTGTTTCATTGCAGCACTTTATATTCCGAGAACTGATTTCCGCACGCTCATTTTCTTGTCTGCAGAAGTAGAAAAGGAGCGTGCGGAAATCATATTATTTTTTTTATTCCCGAAAGGTGGATTCTGAATTTGGTTTTGTTTTTAAAGGATTTGGGAGAAAGCTGATGGAGACTGGTGAAGATTCTTCAGTTCTAGTCTCAAGGGCAAGTCATTGCCCCTTCACTTTTGTTGGGTACTTTTCAAATTTTTACTTTATTTTGGAGGCTGTGGATTAATCAATTTTCTGTTTGTTTCTCAGGAAAATCATAGAAAATCCAGGAAGATGATCACAGTGATGGATTATGCAGATCCAGAGCCGAATGTGAACCTGAGAACAGGGTATATCTTTACCCCTCCCCCTCAGCCCAACTAAGATGATCAAACTTTTGTGGCAAGAAATATAAAGTCATGTTCTTTAGTTTTCACTTTTTACCTTGTTTTAGTTAAATTCATGGTGAAATGTGAATCGTTTCATTAGTTCAGGTTTTTTGTCCAACCAAGTGTGTCTTCTCTCTAAATTTTAGTTCTGAACGGTAATTTCCAATTACCATGTCCTTTTTTTCTTTGAACATTTGTGCTATTTGTCAATTTTTTTTCTAGAATCGATTCAATTTCAGTCGGTCGTATTCTGCAACGCTTCGTGCTTGAAGAAAAATTGTTGAAACGGTTATAATTTGAATGTGTATGCTTTGCTTTTATTTTGTTGGTTAAACATGTTATGAATGATATATTGAATACAATAATTTTACTTCTACACTCTAATAACGTAGTGATGAATATTGGTAAGTATAAAAGAAGTTGACCTTTTGCTGAAAAGAGCAAACAACGAGGATATTTGACATTGACTGTGATGAAGAAATAAGCCAAAAGCGGATAGTTAAGATAACGGGTATGACAATTTCTTACATGATTTGTTAACTTGATATGAAATAATACAAAAATAACATGTTTCGGATCAATTTGTTAATGACTGAGACATTATCGAGTCACTCGAAGAACACGTTCACGAATCAGTGGGTCACCAGATAAGATAACGGGTATGATTTGTAAATGACACGAACACGACCTGTTTGCAAAGTCTAGATATTAAACATAACAATTTTTTGCATGATCCATTAACTCGAAATGAAACGACATTTCATGTTAACGAGCCAGATCGTCATTGGGTTACCTGTTAAGAGCTCATTAAGATGATGAGTTTGACATGACACGATCCTTTAAGATAACGGGTATGATACGCAAACAATATGAACACGACTAGTTTGCCAGATGTAATCTCAACATTTGACTTTTTATTGTTTGTTCAGAAAGAGAAATATTCCTCGACTTTCAAATTCGAATCTCCATTTCATACTTTAGATTATTCGAATATCACTCGAATACAACTCATCGCGTCAATCCAACGAGTATGGGACTTTTAGTGGTAGACGTCTTATCATGTTTGGCGATATGGGTTTTGAGAAATTGGCAGTAGGGTCATTGAACCAATAGCTACTGGGCCTATATATTGGGCCTCAGGCCCAAATGAAGAGCAGGCCTGAACCTGATTGAACGTAAAAACTACTGGATCCTTCTCGCACGTTAGAAAAGCCAACGTGTGCGGAATGTGAAACGACTAAATATCAACATGGAAAATTGCCTTTGAAACTTCAAAATTCCAAGGCCACACTCAAATTACAATTTCCACAACTTTTGCAGTTTTACCAACAAATAAAGTAACTTAAAATTTCCTAAGGAGTCCATACTTGACTTTTCACATATATAACATTTGCTTTTTCAGCGTGCTGGGAATATAACTTGGTATACCAAATGTCATAACAACTGGTTGCAATTTTTTTTTTTTCAATTTTCTAACCAACTGATGGACCAAACAGTGCTTCTGGCACACTAAAAAAATCTCTCCTAAGATAAATGGGAAAAGTAAAACCACCATAAAATATTTGAAAAAAAGTCTCAATTGACTAAAATAAACACGGTGCGTAGATGGAGAAAAAAAGCGTGCAAATATCATTTCCTTTGCAAATTGCATAGAATAAAGAAAACAACACTATATACTTCTTTAAAAACGTAAGCAGCATATATGCAGAAGTAACTCACCAAAAACACAAAAGAAAAATTTATCAACTGCAATTAGCTGGTAAGTACGCTCATCATATCAAATCATAGGTTGAAAAATATGCAAAAATAACTCATTTGTCGACACATTTTTATATCCCAATTAGCAGGAAAGTAGGAAGAGTTGTTTTCAAGGAAATGAGCAACGACTTTTCTTAAAAAAATCAGCGCACGGAAATTGAATGGCAAATAGTGTGAACCAACAGCCGCCCTAACCAAGCCCTCATTACCAAGAAACCCACTTCAGGAGATTTCTTTTCATTTTCTATTTCCTATTTGATTAACTAGTCAACCAGCCGTCTGATTCCCCAACACACTATCTCCACATACACCAAAAGGACACAGACTAAAGAAATGCAGTCCAGCCGGACCCATCACATCTCTTTCCAACAAAAAACAAAGAAACTTCCTCACAACATACATTATACCAAATGACTAATATCTAGGGAACTTTAACAAAAAGCTTCCGGTACTATTTATTTTAACGAAAAATCATATTTTTACATTAAAAAGTCAATCTTGATACTATTCATTCTACCCTTTATTTTGTCTTCATGGTTAAAACTCAAAATTTTCAAGTTTTTTTCATTAGCTTTCTTAATTTCTAAGGTGATCATTTCTCCATCAACTTTCCACTATTTCTTCCCAAAGACCTGCATCAGCAACTCACAAGCAACTTCCTTGATATTCCGGGGCTTGACCACTTCTGATTTGATGGCTTCAAACACAAAGACTCAATCTTTGGTCCCTATAAAACACCTCGCCTCCTATCTCTCCCTCCACAAATAAGATCCTTAATGTAAATCAATACCCTAATCTTTTCTCCCTCTGTATTAGCTTTGTCAAACTTAGAGATCTCTAACTTGGTTTTCTAGTTTCTGCTGTTTATATCCAACATCCATGCTTTTCAGCCTATACTACTGTATTACAATGGAGAAGACATCGTCGTCGACTGATTCTAACTCTAACACATTACCCTTCTTCGTTTTGATCGATGCAATCTTGTTGCACGCGATTTCTAACTGCTTAAGTAGAGTTCAGAATGTTTTTTCAAGGCTTCAGTCTATTCTCCTCCAATCCCAAGAGAGTTGTTGTAACTCGACAAAGGTTTTGGATGAGAAGAAGCTGGCTTCTGAGCCAAGGCGATCACAGATGACCTTTGAGAAGAGAGGTGATGATGGGAGTTTGAGAGGAGAAGATGTGCATATGGTGATGGGAGACTTGGGAATTTTTTGCAGTCCAGAAGGTGAGCAACTGCCGGAGACGTTTAGTTCCGCTGAGCTTTCAGGGCTGTTTGATGAGAAGGAGCCGAGCTTGGGGGAAGTGAAAGAAGCTTTTGACGTGTTTGATGAGAACAAAGATGGGTTTATTGATGCAAGGGAGTTACAGAGAGCTCTATGCATATTGGGGTTAAAGGAAGGATCAAAGCTAGAAGACTGCCAGAAAATGATCAGGACCTTTGACGAAAACGGAGATGGAAGGATAGAGTTCAATGAATTTGTAAAAGTTATGGAGGCCAGCTTTGGCTGAATCATTTTTTTCTTCTATATTAAGTTTATAAGATTTCATGCATCTGTATTCTGTACTTTAACGTCTTAGTATAGTTCTTTCTTACTAATGAAAACTTGAACAAAAAGAACCCATATTTATTTGACTTCTAACAGATACTATACAAGAAACTTTAATGCTGTTCTGATTGAATAGAATCTGCAACGGAAGCTGACACATGATTAAAGGACTTGAAAACTTTGAGTTTTAACGATAAGGACAAAATAAAGGGTAAAGTGAATGGTATCAAGATTGACTTTTTAGTGTAAAAATATGGTTTTTCGTTAAAGTGAATAGTACCGAAAACTTTTCGTTAAAGTTCCCTTAAATAAAACAAAGTACCTGAGCTCCAATTCTGATAGATGATCGTCTGAGTGCAAAAAAGATTAGTTCCCAATTTATATGTGAAACCGATTTATTCACCTGAAAGGTAGACACTCAATCAAAATCTTTAACCATTGAAAAAAATTGCATAGGAGCGTGAATTTCATAATCTTTTTAATAAACTATTTACTACTTACATAGCATGGACCTCTGCAAAGAAAGCTCAGAATGCTTAGGTTGTCATGGAGTAATCTCTATGACACATAAGATGTTTCTTCTGTGGTAATCCACTTTGATTAAAGGTTTCACCGTTATCACCAGTAATCAGCACAAGAACATCTCCCATCCTGAAATTGGTGGAATCTATTGGCATCTCTAACAATTATCAACCTGTTTGTGACTTTTGAAATAAGTTTCACGGCAGCATGGCAATCATCGCATATCCTCAGGTTCTTAATAACACGAATGGGTGCATTTGTAGGCGTTTTCATGAGGCCATATGCTATAGCCAACTTCTCACTGTGATAACTAAGATAATCTTCCTTCTGCTCATCCTCCACATCATGTAGTACTGCAGCAATATCTGGTACATATCCCAATGGTTTAATCTTGGCCAACAATTCCCCGACCTTTTCATGTATCTGACTGGACTCTGGATGCATGTTATCATCCGAAACAAAGATATGGGTAGTATTTCTTATCTCCACCCAGCTCACCCCAGGTTCTTTCTTGATGTTTCTTTCCCTCATCAATTTCCGAATCTTCACAACTCCATCCCACCTCCTTGCCTTGGCATACATATTTGACAATAGCGTATATGTTCCCACATCATTGGGGTTCATTTGCACAACAACCTCTGCTACTTGCTTACCTAAAGCGTAATTCCTATGTACATGACAAGCATTGAGCAAAGTTCGCCAGGCAACAATGTCCCACTTGACTGGCATAGTCCTCATATATTTCTCAGCTTGATCAAGTTGTCCAGACCTGCTGAGGAGCCCCACAATACAAGTATGGTGCTCTAGGCCAGGTTCAATGCCAATCTGTTTCATTAACTGGTTCAAATAGTAGAATCCTTCCTGCACCAAACCCAAACTCGCGCAAGCAGAGAGAACCCCTACAAAAGTAATATTGTTAGGACATTCTCCTGCCGCCAACATGTCTTGAAACACATTTAGCGCTTCCTTGCCAAGCCCATGATGGGAGAATCCAGATATCATTGCATTCCAGGTAACAGAGTCTCGACATGTCATATCCAAGAAAACTTCATTTGCTGCTTGAATGTTGCCACACTTGGAATACATATTGATCAAAGCATTCCCAACAATGACATAGTCCTTGAAACCCGACTTCTCAACACAGGTGTGTAGTAGGTCTCCCTGTCTTAGCGCTGACAAACCTGCACTCGAGTTAAGCAAGACAGCAAAAGTATATTCATTTGGAAGAATGTCTTCATTTCCCATTTTCGACAATACACCTAATGCATCCTCAAAATACCCATTTTGGAAATAACCAGCCATGATTGCCGTCCAAGAGACTATGTTCCGTTCTTGCAAGCGATCAAAAACTTTCGCTGCGTTCAAAACCTTACCACATTTCCCGTACATGTCAATCATTGCACTGCTAAGAAAAACATCACACTTTATATCATTCTTCAACATTTGTCCGTGAACTTGCAAACCCAATCTTAAATCCTTAAGATGGGCGCAAAGGCCAAAAACAGTAATGTATGTAACACTATCCCAATCCATGCACTGGCTTGCCATCATGCCTAACATTTCCATTGCTTCTCTTACATGCCCATGTTCTAAAAGCCCATTTATAACTGAATTATACGAAAGGATATCACCACCTGGCACAGTGTTCAAAACCCTCATAGCCGATTCCATTTCCGAACAACTCGAATACATGTGAACAAGTGCATTCTTAACATACTCATAAGACAGCAACCCGGACTTCAACACATAGCCATGACACTGCTTCCCCTCTTCAACTCTCCCACTGCCAGAACAAGAGGAAAGAACAGTGGCAAAAATGTATTCATTCGGGCACAACCCGTCCACCGAAACCATTGTCTTGAACAAGCCAAGAACTTCCAATGCCATCCCATTGTGTAAATACCCTGCCATCAAGGCACTCCAAGAAACCACATTTCTCTTGGGCAAACAATCAAACAGGTGGCGCGCAATTGAAACTTGATCACATTTTGCGTACAAGTTGACGAGAGAGTTTGCTTGAAATATATCAACGGATTTGGAAGGTTCACCGGAAACGATGAGATGGGCATGGATTGTTTTGCCTGTTCGTAAGTTCTTGGTATCGGCTGCTTTCTTCAAAAGCTTGACGGGGTCGTCAATGGAGGCGGGTACGAGCTTTGGTTTGAATACAAATGGCAGGTGTGAGTTTCTTGAGAGTTTTAGATTGGGCATTGCTGCTATGACGCTCTGCATCCAAGTTTTGTCGCCGTTGGATTCAGTTTTATTGGATTCTGCTTTTGCTTCTTTTTGTTTTGCTAACATTGGGTTGGGCTCTGAATTTGTAACAGTATACCACCATTTTATGGGCTTAAGCCCACTTGATCAATCCAGAAGACCACTTCATCTGTACGCCACTTACAATCAAATAGACCTCATGTACTAAGGTTGATCAAATTGGACCCATGAAATATCCCAACACAAGGGGTCCCCTGTTTAATCCAATTCATTGATTTTGTTTGATTATCATTCAATGATTATTAATGAATAGTAGTGTATGAGAAACTAAAAAAAATGTGTGAAAACAACATTTTTTTTATTAATATTTCTCCCAACACGTGTTACATGTAGCATTTATTCGAGAGATATCAATAAAGGAATATACCGCTAGTTGTACTTAAGAATACCCGTGAACTTGGAGAAATTTTTCAATATGCCTAGACACGGGATGGTACATCACATGTCATTATATAATTAGAGAAAAAATTATTTTCTAGTTGTTGAATCCCACATCGTCCATACTTAAGATAAGTAATAGTTTAAATATCATAACTCCACTCTAACTAACACCGAGACCTTTTGTGATAAAACTCCACACCTAACGGATTGTGCAGGTGGTAATTACCAAGTTGGAGACAGTATCGGTGTTGTTGGAAGTGGACTGTATGGCCCGTCTCTCTGATAATTCTACACTAGTATCCTCCACTTGTATAATGACTTTGGTGTACTACCCTGTATTCTAGACACACCGAAAATCCCTCCTACACTTGAGTCAAAGATCAAGCCCAACCCACAAGTCTTTGAAAAAAATCAGTCCACTCTACTTAAAATAAGGGCCATTAGGTGTGTTGAATGGGAAAGTGTTATCAGCTGCGGCATGCTCGTGTGAGTCGGCTTTGGACGTTGTTCTTTTTATGATTTTATAAGCATGGTCAGATCCGATCACAACGCACAGTTAATTCTAGCATTTCTGGGAGTTGCATGTTGCTGGCATTGATGATCAGTTGAACACTATCGGTTTTGTGATCTTGATGGCCATACATGTCATGCAACCAACCAGCTGGTGAGCTGGCTCACACAGTTTGATGAAACATTAGGTGCCCTTTTACTATCACGCACCATAAGTCCATAAGGACCTACAAACTAATCATCAATGCACTCCAAATTCGGATCAAGTAGTTGCCCCAAATCTAAGTCTAAATTGCCACAGCTAATGCCGTGAGAAAATCTGCCGCGTAACCGGTTCTATCTCCCACAAGTCACGGGATAAGTGTTTTTCCTTGGACTTTATAAAATTGCAAGCACCAAAAATTCCAAAAGATTCGAGCTATATATATATATGTCAAATGTGGTTGTCCTGACTTGAAAATTTGCATCGCAGTTTGGTATCTGCATTCTGCATACAGCTTGCCTAGATGTCAATGTGGTTGTGACTTTGATGTGATACAATTTACCAGTGCAATTACGAGAAAAATGAAGGTGTTCAAAGTAAAGCATAAAAACGTATATTTGGGAATCCTAGCATACAATCAGGGATATATTGTTTAAAATTAACACTATACAATATATTTAAGACATCATCATACAACCGATATATATTTCCCTCTCATGATATAAACATCACGTGGTGATAAGTATAAGGAGATGACAGCCAAGAATTTCCCTTTTGTATTAAATCAGAAGTCCCATAGAGATTAATTGTAATAAGAAGTCCTCACTTTTACCTACCTTAGGACCAAACACAAAAATGTAATCAGAAGTCCCATAGAGATTAATTGCAGCAATTATTTGAAACCCTAACCCTATCCCCATCTCTCATTTGAGCACTGGCTCCATTAATGTGTTATAGTGTCGGTGTCTTTGCCTTCCATATCTGTTACACCAAAAACATTCCTCACTTTTACCTAACTGAGTTAAAATCTTCTATCCCATAAAGAACTTTTCAACCACTCAATGAATGAATGGAGATTGGAGACACCATGTTCTATTCCATTCGTACTTTCCGTTGTTTTTGTTTTTAACAGTTGAGCGTTTGTCTTCACTCTGATAATTACAAGAGCAAACAGCTCCAAAATATTTCACCATCTGCACTAAAATGGATGATACATGACAAAATATACGTACTCTCTTTTGGGGTTTTCCTTCTTTTTTCGAGGCATAAGTTGAAGATTTTTCTTTCAGACAAAGTAGGCTCCATCTTTTACACTCAGTTATAATCTTGAATGTAATTGTAGATCTTGACTAGGTCAATTCGTCAGAACAGTGTCCATGCTCTTTTTACATAGTTCGAATTTCGTCCATATATTAGAGTAGTTTAGATTAATATCGCGTCGAATGTAATTAAAAGGGCCACAATAGGCAGCCCAAGTTTATAACATTTGCTAATCTGGTAGTAATTCTTAAAAAAAAAACCCCTCTTCTTTTTATTATTCATAACTTCATGAATTAACAGCGAGTGGTAAATTTCCACTACCAGACTGCCTTACATACAGATTCTCTCTCAAGCTAGATCTCTCTCTCTCTCTCTCTCTCTCTCTCTCTTTCACTCTAGCAGATATGGCCATGAGGCTTCAGCATAATTCCAGCCATGACCTGCAAAAACTCACAAATCTATAATCTAATGAAAAAGGTCACTCACTTTGAAGCAAACCCTTTCCATTTTTACCTTATAAGCAAACCTTTTTCATCTTTTACCCTTACATTTTTACCACATGTAGCTAAACAAACTGGAATAGTAAAACAAGCTTTTTTAACCACACACAGAGAGATATAATTAACTAATAGAGAAACTGTCTCCCAGTATATGTCTGACCAAATGACCAATTAGGAGGGGCAACATTGTAAGAAACCAGTCTGCGGCCATCACTGGTGGTCACAAGAAAGGAGAGGCTTTGTCCATTGAGGTAAGAATTGCTCTGCCAGTTTTGGCCCCAGTTTCTTGACATTGCTTGCCACCGAGTCCTCGAGCCCTTGATGGCCACAGATTGCACATCACCAGCACCACCAACGTTTGTCACAAGGACTAAGTTGAAGTAAGAGTGTCCATTGACTGTGAACCTTATGCCTCCTCTTCTCCTGCATCTAACCCTACAAAACACATCGGAAAAACAAGTCGGAAACTTGACAAAATAAAATATAGTAATAATAAGTGGTTCCACAACTAATAACACCTAGACATTTTGTGATAGAACCCTAAACTTTGCTGGATTATGCATGTGTAAGATTTAATTTACCTTCTGTAGGAAACTGGGACAACCCCGGCTTTGTATTGAGCAATGCGGAGGAAGACAGGCTGAGAGAGATCAAAGTGTTGCTGGGGAGGGTCGCACCAGCCACCTGGTGGGCAGAAGTTTGTGGCAGTGACTATGATGGAGCCAGGGAGGCACCACTGTGGATCATTCACACACCTGATCTGATAGCATGCTCCACAGGTCAAGCCATTGTTGAACAGTGCAGTGCTTAGAGCTGCTGTGTTAGTCCCATAACCCTGGCTGTATAGGTTCCCATATCCACAAGCCCCTCCTATAAAATTAATTGCTTGCCCAAATAAGTAGAGTAGAAATAGCAGAAAAGTATAAGTATTACTTTTACCATAAGTGATTAGACAAAGCTGCTGTTATTGGCACTTCGAAATAGTCATCATGCAGTTTTGTCTAATGAAAATAAGTAACGAATGAAGGAGTACATTATGAATATTTTATAGTGCTAACAACTGCTTGGTTGATTAAATCAAAATCATAGAGCGAGGCATACCCATTGTGCCGGAAGCATCACCACCTCCATAAAAGGTTGCATGAGCATTGGACCAACCTCCATAGTAGCCATTAACAGAAGAGACAAGTGAGAGAAACCCAATTACAAGAATCCTCAAGGAAGCCATTTTCCTGAACAAAAAGGAGAGTACGAAGTTATGAACTCTTCTAGCATTAATGTTACTAATATTTATATAAGAAAACTAGCTAGTAGTAAATAGTACACTACTGTATTATTTATGAGAAAGTGAAATTATGAGAGAAAGAGGAAAGAGAGAATTATTACAAAGAGGAAATTATGATATGATGAAGTTTGAAAGGATGAAGTAGTGAGGAAATGAAGAGGAAGGGAGTGGGGGTCTGATAGTTTTTGAAGAAGAATAAATAGAAGTCAGTCAACATCGCACCTGAAATGACAATAGCTGACAATTTTAGAGCTGTTGGGACCATGCATGCTGCTAAGTGGTTTTGGGGACTCTCACGATATCTGTTGTTTGTAGAATCAATTAATGCAGTTTTTGGGGACTGAGAGAGCGGTTTTTATGGTTCAAACCGCGTGGTTTTCAAGTTAATTTCCACCATTTGGCAATTGCCGTACTGAAACCAATGTGCGGCAGTGGCAGAGAGTAAATTTGGCTCAACCCTCCTAGTAACAAGATAGGAGAGAAATTTCGATAGAGCTACTTAATTTTAGGGCAATTCTCATAACGGCTGTGACTAGTGTGGAGTTCGATACAGAACTAAATGCGTGGGGTATGCTTTGTGAGAGATACCCCACGAATACGTGGTTGGACACTCCTTACCTGCTCAAAATTTTATCCTCCCATAGTAAAATAATCTGGTCCTGAAGACAAGGTACTGAAGATGGTAAATTTTTAGGAGCTACTCACATTTACACTTAATCTACCTGCCACGTGGAATTTCCTGTCCAAATTAACTCCAAATTTATTGATATCAGTTCATGTTTTCATTTGCAACAAAGTTCACCTTGCTGTAGTTTTTTTTTGCTGATAAATTCCGTTCATTCCAGACCAACCATTGATGGGTTAACAACAGCACATGTATAAATTATATGTTTCATGTTTATTATCTTCTTTTTTTTAACTGATTATATAGTTCATCGGATTTATTCCTCTCATCACATGAACGTGCCATCACATGAACAAGCCATGTAATAAGAGTTAAAAACAAGAAGATATACAACCCCATAGCTAAGAATCTCTAATGGTGTATGGGAAAGATACATACCATTTTATTACAAGCCAAACTATATATAGATATAGAGTGAATGACTTTAAAGCTATGGGGGTATCCTTGTCCAATACATATGGTGGTGTGTAATAGAAACAACCATTTTGCAAATTAAGTGGTCATGCATGTGGGTTTTACCTTTATGTCCAGAAACTTTATTCTGCATCTGCACCTGGATTTGATCAAGTTCATAAAGAATAGAAACCTTGTCTAGTCGAGGTGAAGACAGAGGATCTTTGCAAGAAATTTTGTGGGCCTTAATGCTTTCAGTTTTCTCGTCTCAGTGATCGATCTACACCAACGACCTTATTATCATTAGATAATATATATCATAACGCTAATTGTTCCAAAACAAAGAATTAGGGTTTAATATGCATAGATCGAATTGGCAATGACTTATTATATGTAAGTCTGCAGTATATACACTAAACAAACAATAAATCGTATATAAATTTCAAGATTTAGTGCTCTTTTATCCTTTGTTTAGTGTACCTTCAGTCCTATTTGTGCTCATTCCCTAGTAAAAATCAACTGAAGCTATTCTTTTATTAGTGTAAACTGTGTGATTGGAAGTTGTTTAGATTGCTCTTCATGGTCAACAAGGCAGAGCCCAAGGCTTTCACCAATTGCACATGTCGGAAGACAGATGTTAGCGTATGTCTGCACCACTCACTCACTCACTCACTCTGCATCACACACACACACACACACACACACATATATATATATATATATATTATATGAGGAGCTTGCTTTTCTGGATATTTGGACACTTGCTTTCTGAGCCATGTTGAACAGTTTTGCAAATTAAGCTAAGCCTACCAGACAGTGGCCTAATCAATCACCCAACTCCAAGTGTTACTGTGTTAGTACGCATCATTTTCACCATAACTGAACTCACAAAACGCTGAAATCAATGGCCAATATTTGCGACTGATGATGATATGGACAATAAATTGTTGCTAGGGTTTGATGCATATGGTGCATGCTTCCGTTATCCGTGCATATATACTTCTCGATCACATGCATTTGCGTTTCAAACGCCATGTGATGGCAATTCTCCATCATTAATTTGACAAATACCTATTGAATGTGACGTAACGTGTAATACATATGCATGTGCAGCAACACGATAGAAACCCTACCATCAAGTGTTGTACATATAAACGTCTATCTCTTCTCACATAACAGTTAATACATTAAACACATGATGTTGCATAAAGAGAAAGAGACAAACCCTAATTTGCATGTCACAATGTGTATATCTTTCACCTCACGTGACACATAAACAACAGAATTACAGATACTGATGTATATACATTTTCTGAATGGTAAGATTACGCTTCTTCATTAATAGCACAAGTATGTGCATCAGACCCTAGATTACACTCCTAAATTAAGCCATTAAGTTAGATTATACATGCTAATTTAACGGTATGTATCAACAAAAACAAAGAGTAGTATAATGTATAATCAAGTTCGACCAGAAACCGTTAGACCATATATTAGACCATATCATAGTTAGATATTAACCTCCAAATCTCCAATGCACAGCTAAATATATTCAGAAAGTTCGTAGCTCCAGTTAATTAATCTTGTGTGTACCTCCGACCGGGCATATGACATATGGATTGCCTAGGTGAAATCGAGTAATAAACGCAAAACATGTATGTTCTATCTCCTTCGTTGTCCTTCATTTACATCACCAAAAAGGTAAATTACCACACTACTAATTTGGAGCTTCTTATTTATATGTTTTGTTAGTTCTAAGAATTGGATTTACAATGAGGTAATTGACCTGATTCTCATTCTTTACTTCCCGTTATTACTAAGTTTTCAATTTCTTACTCTATCATTACTAATAAGTAAACACGTCATTAGTCAATTTCTTGATCATGCTCAAGTTTATTGTGACCATAACAAGGGTATGACTTTTGACCAACTATATATATAGTTCTCGGTCTACTTTCTCTTTCTAATGTTCAAAGCTTTCCAAGTTCGGTCTCCCCTTCCAATTGATTTTAAAAAAAAAATTAAAAAAAAAAAAAAAAGGTTTTTTTTAGCTAAAATGGTCTCTGAGATTGTCATATCTCCTCACTTCGGTCCTTAATTGAAAATCGATAAAAATGGTACCTGAGATTGTACACTATCAATCATTTTGGTAATTCTATGAAAAACTCCGTCAAATTGATGGTATTCTTATCAAATCAGCCCCTCCAATTAAACTGGTGGTTTATTCAATTTAACAGAGATTTTTTATAGGACCAAAATGATTGACATTGGACAATCTCATAAATCACTTCTATCAATTTTAAATCTCAGAAACTAAATTGAAGAGTTATTACAATCCTAGAAACCATTTTGAATATTTAGTTAACTTTTGATAATAGATTTCTAGTAAACTTTTAACTTGGCATGTGGTACAACATCACCAATCCACATAGAGGAACCATATTTTTAGCCAATGCTGCATAGTAAATTAACATGACCAGAATGTCACATATGTATATATGTGAAAGAACTTTTCTTAATTATTTGAGTTGATTTTGGTAGACCTTGTATGAAATTGCAAGGACAAACCAACTAATTGACAGCATTTGGATGCTTAAGTGGTACGTACAATTTTAAAGTTGTGGGTCTTTTCTTTGATGTATGACTTATTCTTAAAACTTTTCACTACTGATTAATTAAACATTTATAATACTATGGTAGCAATTTATGCGCTTCATTTTCACTTTCTACATCTTCATCTTCCGTTTCTAGCTAATGGATTAGATAATCGATGAGAATTAATGAACAAAATAAAAAGAAAGAGTGCAGAAGATAAAAATGGAATCGTAAAAATCACTCCCGTAATACTTAACCATCAATGGGGATTTACAATTTGCAATATACTAATTACTAGTAACTCTACAGAAGTATTAACTATTAAGTAAAGATTTGCCATGTTCCTGAGATGATAAACATCTACTGCCGACATAAACAAAGGCACATGTGTTCTCTTTTCCTACCTCTCCTTAAAAATGCAACGAAAGAAAATGACTTCCATGCATGAAGATGAAACACACAAACTTCGATTTTTGATTAATGGCAAGACTAACAAAAATTACAACCAACGAAAAAACAACGGTCAGATCGAAGCTAATCGTTTCGAAAATTTAGGCACAAAATGATATACAACCAGTTACAAGACAGATTCTTTGAATAACGTCATTATTGTATAGCAAGTGTACTCATGTGGTGATATACTTAACGCTAATATCTGGCTTTCTGATACGTGTTTAACTAGGATGTTTTGCAGCATTAGAATTTGAGCAAAGAGTTCAATCTTGTTGACTTTTCAACTAGATTATCGTGAGACAGGTTCACATTGGGATGTTTGAGATCCGACAGCTCTCGAGCTCTCCAGTCACCATCGAGGCAAAATCTTAGGCGCAATCAGTGTACGTTACTTTATGATCCTCGCTCGAAGAAAGATGGGCACAAGGAATAGACGCTCGGTTGTACTTAAGTTTTCCTCCGCCATCCGGTTTGATCACGGAGTTTGATCAACTTTAGGTGCGGACCCACATGCCCCACTGGTACTGCGAGAAAGTTGTTCGTGTTGTGTTGAACCACAAGCCTGCACAACTCTCTTGTTTTAAATGAAGTAGGCCGACCCAGAAATTGACCTTACATTACAGGCTTTTGGAATTTACTTGGTTGGTTGAATTCTCCATAGGGTTCGTGGAAATCGTGAAAATCGTATGCTACCGGCCCACAGCAGCAGTGGCTGTCAGCGTTGCGGTCCAAACGAATCGTGCACCATCATGCTGAAGATTAAACACACGACAATGCATGATGCACTAAGAAAACCGTCACAGCAGAACCCCAAGAATAAGTTAACGGGTCATCGAATTTTTGTTAAGCATATTGAAACCGTTCTCAGGTTACCAGGACTTCAAATTGAAGGTGTGGATACACACAAAAATGTATTACAGAAACAACATAATATATATGGGCTATTCAAGCTAAAACCACAAGAACAGGTTCCAATCAAAGCAGAGCAGTGCTGAGTTTCACACTGCAAATCGAATTTGGGGTTGGACACATTCCCAACGATAAAAAAAGCACAAAAGATGAGCCCGGTAATACCCAGCATTCGTTTATAGAAAACAAAACACTACATCCTATTGGCCATAGTACGATGGTGAGGCACCAGGAGGCCGAACGCCTGGAGATGAAGCACCACCACCGGGTCGCACATTGGGTGGAATCCCTGGTTGAGACATTCCCCTAGAAACGATACCTGAAGCAGCTGGACCTGATTGGAGAGGCGAAGAACCCGCTGGCATTGCTGCAGAGTAATATACAGGACCGGATGATGCCTGGTATGTTTGACCGGGAAAGGTGCTAGGAGCTGAAACAAACGTTGATCTGCCTGCCTGCATGGCTGGATCCCATGATGAGGGCTGTCCTGGAGGAGCTTGGGCCTGCACAGAAGCTGCACCACTGTACTCATTGCCATGGTACATTGGAGCAGCTTGAGGATTCTGCCAAGCACCAGGAGGAGGAGGAGGGTAACCAGAAACTTGTTGCGCCGCAAGCAAACTAGCATCTGGAATCGTATAGTCTCTACTTTTGTCGCTATACGCCTGCAAGTAAGAATAAACACAAGCAATCAAAATCTCAGGAAAGATATTTTGGGAATGCATTGAGATAATCAGATGGAAAAGTAAGTGTCAAGAAGCATACATTTAAGGACCAAATCGTTTTTCGACCAAGAACAAATCCGCTTTTTCTTCTAAGGATGTCTTTACAATTTCCTTATTTTTATTCTCATGAACAGTTTAACTCAAAAACTCACATTTATACCTTTACATTGAGATCAGTATGACGAGAGTATGATAGATGAAGCTTACAATAGCCACCATCATATATGCAATGTCCCTCTAGAGCTTCTCTGGCAACTGCTGCTGTATTGAGATCTGAAAATAACAACGCAAAAGTTAGCCACAGCCGAATTCTCAAAGATCAGTGACAAATCAAAGAGTCGTATTGAAGGAGGACATACCAGGGTATTGAACTAATGCTTGTGTTTGACCATTCTTCTCAAATATAGCAATTTTTTGGACAGTGCCAAACGCAGAGAACACCTGTAGCATACAAGAAAGGATCATGATATCTACAACTCCTCTTAGTAAATTGAGCACTTAAAAATACATGAAAGGTGAAAACCCTAACCGTGTGAATAACATCCACTGTGACAGCATACTGCATATTTTCAATTGAAGCGAGAAGCACGTTACTCTCCAGCTCTTTCTTCTTTCCATCAGGGCCTACAGTAGGCTGGAGACAGCAGCAAATTAGAGCAATGTTGGGCTTCGGTAGTAATATCCAATACTACATAATATATGTTTAAGTAAATATTCTAAAAGCAAGAAGATACCTGCATAATTCCCTCTATTGCAGTAGGATTTACAGGAAGGAGCGGATTTGTATAGTCCCTACAGGATCAATGCAACAAAAATCATACAAATTAAGCCAAAACTACATGCGTGAACTGATGTCAGAGTGTAAAAAACTGCCTCAGAGTAGAAACAAGTCCGTAAAGCCAATTTGAAGCCCAAACAAAAAGGTAGATATCGTTTTACAAAAAAAAAAAAAAAAGATAGATATCGAATTGAAGAATGCTTATTAAGAATGGCCATGATTAAATGATAAAGGCAAGGCATTAACACCATAATAAGACAGCCAAAAAAGCTAGAAAGATGATGTTCAGTGAAGTTTGATGATCGGTGGCAGTGTTGTTAATCACCTTGTTGTCCTCAACTTTTAGATATACTATTAAATTCATTAAATACTGGAACGATTAAGTCAGTATTTAATTCTCATTAGTAGACAATTTGGGTTCTCTAAAATACATTACAGATACTTTCTAATTGTAGAATGAGAAGCAATCATTTAGTATAAAGAGGAGTATGTTGCAAATACAAGACACTGACAAGAAGCCATCCCAACAAGAAAAATGTGTTGGCAAAGAAAACAGAAAAATGTAGAGTGTGACAGTGTAAGATCAAGGCAGAAGAGAACATTTCCGACAATATTAAATGAGCAACACTAACTACAATGAAATTAACAAATACATAAAGGCCAATATGTAAGATCAAGGAATTACTAAATGGACATGACAACACATCTGTGTTCTGGCTACCAGGCTTCACTAATCCCTAGATGAAAAAGGTACACACACCAATTAGCATTTGATTTAACACACAATAAAATCAACTAAAGAGTGTAGAAATAGACACAATCGGAGACAGAAAAATGAAACCAGCAAGAAAAAAAGAAAGATTATTGGCCTGTTGGTTCTGTTTCTTACCTGCTTCGGTGAGACTGGAACTTGATGTTCAGATCAGTGTGTGCCGAATAAGAAATACGTAAGTGGCAGGAACCGACATGCTCTGGAAGCAAGTACCTAAATGCAAAGCATTACATGCCAAAATTAGCAACAATACACACTATTCCAGATGTACTGATCTCTATGAGAAAAATGATGGTGGGAGGAGGGAGCATATGGAGATTGCTTGCCTGGGTATGCTTCTTCCATCCAACGCATTCCTTGCCATAGATGCAGTGCCAGCGTCACTGAACTGAATCAATGCCTGCAAAATTAAAATGAGAGAATAAGAATGAAGCACGAAGCATCTCGATTACAAGTCATATGCAATACTAAGAAAGATCATCCAATACAAACCTGGAAGCCCGCTGCTTTTTCAAAAGTAGCAATCTTGTGAACAAAGCCAAAAGCAGAGAACACCTGAAAATTGGTTCAGTTCATCATACACGTATTACATTGATACTAACCGGAAACAAGACAACAGCAGAAACCCTCCATGATGAAAATACTATGGGTAGCAAAAAAATTCCAAACAGATGAGTTATAAGTGCAGAATGACACCTGTGCATATATGCGTGACCTTAGAAAGGAGTATGACGTACATGATAATAATTCCAAACTGCTTCCAACAAAAGAATTTAAATAAGAGGCATAACCATCTGTGATTCAACTGATTTCAATAAAAGGGGCAAAAGTAAAATCTGCTTTACGTAAATTAAATGTAAATGTTTATCCAGAAACCCGTGACTTAGAAAACAACTCAGCATTTCATGATCTCTAGACATGTAACAGGCAGGTTGAAACAAGGTTTTGCAATATATTATAAGATATGCCCAAATGTTTGCCAAAATACACTTACCAAGTGAATAACATCAATGCTCACATCGCCGGCTTCAACACCCTCAATGGTTACCAACAAGACATTTCCGGGTACGTCTCCCGGACTTTTGTTGTTGACAATTTCATGTCTATTTGAATACTGAATGTAAACGGTTTTACCACGGACCTGCGCAGGCTCCGAGGATGAAGCATAATACGAAACCATATTTATGGCCTGGTTTAGGTCTACCTGCAAAATTAATAATCACATTCATCACCATATAAACATTGAGCGATGCGAAAGATATACCATAAAATCCTTGCAAGAAATAAGAATATTCATACATATTAAGCAGCTAACTGGATAACCCTGAAGCCATATATCATAAATTTTGGAAATTTTTAGTGAATTTATAACAAATTTAATGGCTTGTATTAAATCTTTACAAGAAATAAGTATACTCACACAAATTACGCAGCTAACTGAAAATTCCAAAGCTAAATATCATAAAATTTGGAAAATTTAATGAATTTATTAATAAAGAAAATACAATACTGAAATCAGAACGGAGAAAGGTGAGAAGGAGCATACGAATTCGACGAAGGCCTGATTGCGATTGGCGCCGACATTACACTTGGTGTTGACGATCTTGCCGAAAGGCTTGCAGAGCTCGATGAGCTCCTCCTCGGCGCACTCCCACGGGAGGTTGCGGAGGTGGAGCACCTTCGACGGCGTCTGCGTGTACCGGAACTGCGGCGTACCCGATGTCGACATAGGGCATAGAACGGGTGGGCCAAGTTGGATTGGGGGTTAGGGTTTGGAGAGAGATAGAGAGCGATTGGGGTGATTGGGCGTCGAGAAAGTGTGGGAGATTTGACCGTGAAAATTGTGGGTTTGGGTCGGGTTGGGTGGGAACTGGGGACGTCAGGTGGGAGGATTTTTATCGATAAGAGACGGGGGTCAATCTGTCTGCGACGCGCGTCTTGTCCTCGTGAACGCCGTTTTTGTTTGGTGGAGGGGGTTTATTGTTAGGTAACGCCACGTTACTATTTATTTAAATTATATTTTATGAATTATATGATATGATTGTTAATTATTAAATTATCAAGTGTTTTTTTTTTTAAATGAAAATAACTGGTAGCAAGTTACTTTCTTTTTCTTAGAAAGTAAATGTTTAGATTTTGTGAGAGAAAAGTAAATCTTTATATGGTTTGGGAGATAATTATTGTTATTTATCCTTGAATTCTCGTCGTGAATTAATTTTTTTTATTACATAATTTAAAGAATATAAATTGATAATTATGCTTGAGAACTAAAAAAGGGGCTCCTAGGCCTTATTTGACATACTGTATAGTACTATCGGATAGTATTAATGATACGAAATGAGTGTTTGGTGAGCTTCGTATGAAATAAGCACCGAATTATTTAATCCGGGCCCACTTATTTTATACCCCTCACACCCGATTATTTATCTCGTATAAAACCTCTGTATTATTAGTCTGGTCGATCATCTTGCTCACTCTACCCCTCATTAGCAGTGCTCTCATTCCACTCTCACATCTCAAGCTTGCTTTCAATTAAGATAGATAAAGAGAGAGAGACAAAGAGAGAAAGAGAGAGAAACAAAGTTACAGGAAGATGGCCGATGAAATGGAGATTGGTGGTGGGAGGAGTTTCATCAACCACCAAAGAAAAGTTGCCGGCGAGGCACTGGTGAGGCTGAGAACAGTCGTACATCCACTTCACAATTAGCTTCTCAATCAAGTACACGACTTTTGAAGCATAACCCTTGTTGGGTTTTGGGTTAGGGATCACTATTTCGCTACCTTTGAGTTGATGCTTATCCACGCTAACTTCGACATCTGTTATTGTTGTCTGGTTTCTAATCCCTCGTACGGGTTCGTCTCCATCGTCTTCTTCTTTTTCTCTCTTTGTTCCTCCCTTCTCCTTTACACACACACCCCTATCACATCCTCCGTTTGCCTTCAATCTATGACAAGAACAATTTTAATCGCATTTTCCATGGGTTGAAAAAGGAAGACAATGATTCAAATTCTTCGATCTGGGCTCTGACGAGGAGAAGGATAGCAATTTGCATATGGGCTCTGCCGGCAAGGACGAAGCCGAGGAAGGGAGCTTGACTTTCCCTGATTATGGTTGATTTTTGGGCTTTGACGAGAAGGACGAAGACAAGGAAAATGATCTGGGCTCCAACCATTAAAAATATTTATTTTTGGGATTTTGTTTTTGGTTGATCTGTGTGTGGATTTTACAAGGATTCTAAAGTTGGATTTTTCCATAAATTTTTTTAATTTTTTTGGAATTCTGCTTAAATTCATATGTGTATTGCTGAAACTGTATTTAAGAAATGTTGTATACCAAACACTATATAAATAATGCGGTCTTAGTCCGGTATTGCACCAAACGTCTGATTAATTAGTCAGTACTATCCGATGACTATTTATCCCATACGATTGAAATAGTCAGTGCAATTCGAGCTACCAAACATCCTATGTTGCTGAGTGTTACACCAACTCAATAGTCAGTTGAGCTGAGATATCTTTTATTTTGGTCGAAGGAGAAATAAGCAAACGTCTAGCATTTTCACCAAGTAGAAATAATAAGCGGAATTGAATCACTAACTACTCATAAATATGTGCGTAGGTTGTTTATATCGAGTGGGTATTAATTTCCTAGGAAACTAAAACAAAATGAGTTTTTTTTTTTTTTTTTTTTAACAAACGATATTATCTACATTAAAAAAATGAGTATTAAATACATACATATTTAAAAGTACACAATCACATCAAATGTGGTAGGATGTGATCATGTGATAACATTCTTTACAAACTATGCTTTAATTTGATATACAAGCTTAGTTTTATACTTTATATTCGTTAATTATTGGTCTAGCAATATATTTCGTTATATGCAAATGATAATTAGTATTGAAGTTGCACCCGTATTAAAAAGAAATTTCTTCAATAATACATATAATCGAATGATGCGAGAATGCATTACAAATAGGGCAAAAGACTGTTTACTACTCTCATGTTTCTTGATTTTCAACATTTACTACATCAAGTTTTTTTCATCCCAGAGTCATACCTAAAGTGTAAATTTTGGGACAGTCTCATACATCCGTTAGTCAAACTGTTAAGTCTTCCGTTAACTGATGACATGACGCCCACGTGAACAATGACTAGGCACCACGTGTCAATAAGGTCCCACGTGGATATTAAAAATTAAAAATTAAACATTGAAAGAAAAAAAAAAAAGCTGTCTTTTTCCTCAACCCTCCATCCATTATCTTTCCCTTCTCCCTGAGAGCACCACCCAACCTCTGCACCTTTCACGGCTCTCCTTCATCCCTTCTCCCTCCCTTTGACTCAGCCATTGATTCCCTCAACTCGCCTGAGTTCCCCTTCTCCGACTCCACACCCCGCGTTTCTTTCACCACCGAATCGGAACTTCCATTGCACGAATCCTCCATCATCGGATTACTTGACTACTCGCCCAACCTGATCTCCCCACTGGCTGGTTCAACTGGTTTATTCGGCTCCAAACCATTACCCGTACCCACATATTTGGTTCCAGGTTCCTCGAGTTTCCGATCTGTCGTGTTCGACTCGTCAAACGACTGTCATCGTGCACCAAGAAATCGGGGAGAAGGGAGGGTGCTCTCAGATTTTTCTACAGAGGGGAATGGGTGGGTGTGCACTCACCCACAACCACCTCTTCTTCCAGATCAAAGCCGTCAGCGCCATCTCTGTCAAACGCCGTCGCTTGCCGTTGCTCGCACGCCATATCTCTGTTGAATGGAATTCGGAAGTTTTGGATTTTGATTTAGGGTTTTGGTTTTCAAAAAGGGCGAGAGACAGAGGAAAATAAGGGAGGGAGAATTAGGAAGGATAGGTGCAGGAGGGGTGAGGTCGCCCATATTTTATTTTATTTTTTTAAGTTTTTTAATTTTTTTTAATATTTACATGGTTCCATATTGACACGTGACGCTTAGTTATGTCCACGTGGACGTCACGTATCATCATTTAATAGCTAATTTAACAGCCAGACTAATGAGACTGTCCCAAAATTAACACTTCTGGGACGAAAAAAACTTCATATGTATCAAATGTTAAAAACCACAAAACTGTAAACTAATATTTACCCTAACAAATATCATTAAAGGAAAACTAATGAAAATGACTTTAAAATTTTGAGTATTAAGTTTTAACTATAAATACAAAATAAAAGATAAAGTAAATAATACTAAGATTAAATTTTTAATATAAAAATATAATTTTACGTTAAAATAAACTGTAGGATGACTTTTTCTATCATTAAATGATACCGTAACATTTAAACGGGAAGTATCTTAGTTTTATAATTTTATTCTCCTCACAAGCTTTAGGGTCTTAAAAAGGAAGAGCAGGGCGGTCAAAACCCTAGAAATCTGAATCTAAGATTTCAAAACGCAGAGGCAGCAGAATCTGGTAGTTCGATCGGCATCTCTCTCCTTTCTAAGGGTACTCGATTTTCTTCTCCAATTTAGGGTTTCTGTGTACCAATTTTGGTTGTAAATTATATTTTAATCGGATTTCGCACTGATTTTGTTTCAATCGAATGATTGGGAAACAGATAGCGATGGCAGGTCAGAGGAGTAGTTACGGAAAACGTTCGCATTCGCAGTCGGAGTACGTCGACAACGGCGGCGGAGGAGGAAACAAAAGGAGAAATTCCGGCGAAGAAAGAGAGCAATTCATCATCGATGCGGAGGACACCGTTTACCGTTACTTGTGCCCGGTGAAGAAGATTGGGAGCATAATTGGGAGAGGAGGAGAGATTGTGAAGCAGCTGAGGGTGGACACAAAGTCCAAGATTCGAATCGGCGAGACGGTGCCGGGCAGCGAAGAGCGAGTGGTTACTATTTACAGTGCGAGCGATGAGACGAATGGGTTCGAAGATGGCGGGACGTATGTGGCTCCGGCTCAGGACGCTCTGTTCAAGGTCCATGATAGGGTGATTGCTGAGGACACGCATAATAATAATGACGAGGAAGCGGACGGTAGTGGCGGCGGGGGGCACCATGTGACTGCGCGGCTTCTTGTGCCGTCTGATCAGATTGGTTGCATTATCGGGAAAGGAGGGCAGATTGTTCAGAACATTCGAAGTGAAACCGGTGCGCAGATTCGGATTCTCAAGGAAGACCATTTGCCTTCTTGTGCTTTGAACTCTGATGAGCTTGTGCAGGTAGATTGAATGAATTTTTGAACTTTTAAATGAATTTTTGAGCTTTGCCATTTTCTTGCGTATGGATATGTCTTAAATTTGTGATTTGATCTGTAATGGGTAAATTTCTTGGTAGCATTTTGACATCTTTTAGCTGAAGAGAGTAGTGCTTTGCATGTTCTTATCTGTTTAGAGATTTCGATGGAACATACTATATTACATTGTGAGACGTGCAGTTGTTGAGAATTTTTCTTTGGAGTCACTTTGTGCAAGTTATTTGTTTTGTGGGGACTTGGATATTTGCTTATTAAGTTCTTGATCATGGATTCAGATATCTGGGGAAGCTCCGCTTGTTAAGAAGGCTCTTTTTCAAATTGCATCTCGCCTACATGATAACCCATCACGATCTCAGCATTTGCTTACTTCTTCGGTGCCTATGTATTCTGGTGGTTCACTCATGGGTCCATCTGGTGGTCCCCCACTGATGGGAATTGCTCCAATGATGGGTCCTTATGGAGGGGGTTACAAAGGTGATGTTGGAGACTGGTCACGCTCCTTGTACTCGGCTCCAAGAGATGAAGCATCCTCAAAAGAATTTTCTATTCGCTTGGTTTGTCCAACTGCAAATATTGGAGGTGTGATTGGAAAGGGTGGTACCATAATTAACCAAATTAGACAGGATTCTGGGGCTGTCATTAAAGTTGATAGTTCAGCTACTGAAGGAGATGATTGCCTAATTACTGTATCAGCAAAAGAGGTGAATTACTACTCCATTAGTTTTTTGCATGCAGATGTATCGTTGGAGGATATTACATCATTGTTTTTTTTAACATGTACCATTTCAGTTCTTTGAAGACACATTCTCAGGAACTATAGAAGCAGCAGTGCGTTTGCAACCCAGATGCAGTGAAAAGGTAGAAAGAGATTCAGGAATTGTCTCATTCACAACCCGCCTACTTGTTCCAACCTCACGAATTGGCTGCCTAATTGGGAAAGGTGGAGCTATTGTAACTGAGATGAGGAGACTTACCAAAGCTAATATTCGCATACTTTCCAAGGAAAATCTTCCCAAAATTGCATCTGAAGATGATGAAATGGTGCAGGTAAAGTCTTTCTCCCGGTGCTGTGCCAGACCATTGTATTTTCTTGTGTCATTTTGAGTTTTTTTCTTTTTGATAATGCATTTAGAGATTTTCTAGATTAAGCTAGTATGAATATTGACAATTTTGGGTTTCATTTTACAGATCTCTGGAGACCTTGATATTGCTAAGGATGCTCTTATACAAGTAGTTACCAGATTAAGAGCAAACCTTTTCGACCGGGAAGGTGGAATGTCGGGATTCCTGCCAGTTCTGCCTTATCTTCCTGTGTCAGCAGATGGTCCAGATGGTCCAAATTATGATAGTAGGGATGGTAGAAGACATGGCCGTGGGCATTCATTTTCTGCTGGCTATGGTGGCTCAAGTGATTTCGCAGCTAATGACAGTTATGGAAGTTATGGTGGTTCACAGGTATCTTTTTATAGTTTTTGACTTTTCTTCTAAGAGTTAAGGTGACTTGTTATCACTTTACAAAGGTTTTCTTCTTTACTTAGTGCCATCTTTCATAGATTCTTTATTTAGTGCAGTTGATTTTGTTATTTACCCTTTTTGTGCAACCTCCAATATCTTCATTTGTTCCTTCACACTTTTTCTTCGTATCATATGTAGATTGGTGGTAGCGGCAGCGCTTACGGAGCCTATGGAAGTTATTCTTCTGGGCGGAGTGGTAGTTCTGGGTAAAACTTTTCTTTCATCGTCCTTTCTTAGTTGGATTGCCTCTTCTTAATTTCAGCCCCCCGCCTCCCTTTTATTTTGTGTTCTTTTGCTCTTTCCTGCGAGTGTTTATCAAGTAGCTAGATTTATCCCTAATGTTAGGTGACAACTTCACCATCAGTAGAACACCTCTAGTTGGATATCCATAAAATATGAATTCTGGAACTTTGTAGTAGCACCTAACGAATTTTAGACAGAATATCTCTGAATGGAGTCATCCGGCTTTTGTTCATGAGTGCAGTAGGCTTCTAATGTTGGGTTTATTAAATAAGTAACCTGTTTCTTTTTCCCACGAATACCAGTCTCGAAACGCATTAATCCTGATTTGAAGCTTATGATATCAGGTTATCTAGCCAGAACCCTGTTTCTCGGAGGAGAAACTATGTTTAATGATGGTACCATCAGGTAGACTATGATTGTCTTTTGAGATTTTCATGTCTGTTATTATAACTGGCATTACCCTTTGGCCAGTTTTTTGATAATCGTAACCTCTCCAATCTCCCTGTATATAAAATTCTGATGCTCTTGTTTTCCCTCTTTTGCCTTTCCCATCCCATCGAAACAGCTGAGTTCTATGAAGCCTGAAGCCAGCCTACTGTCTGCCTAAACCAGAAGACGAACCAGCATATGACATAGTCATGGCCCACCTTGACGAATCTACTTAAAAAGTCCAAGAAACCAAAATTACCAAGCTTCCCTAGAACCCATATACCAGCTTGCCTGCCCATGTTGCTGTTTTTCCTGTTACACTTTGACATTATGAAGCCATGTTACTTCAATGTTGCCTCTGTATTTGTGTTTTCTCAGCTATGTAGTTTGATTACTTTGTTGTTTGAATTTATATGTTGTGGATCATGAAAACTTAACCGGTTACTTTGTGATGTAGCATATTGTTGTATCATCTGACTGCACGCATTTATGATTTCACTTCTCCATCATTTCATATTACATTTTTGGTTTACGATATCTGTTGTGAAATCCATCTACACAACTGTTTTTGAGGTCTACTAGTTCTGATTTAAAAGTGAGGAGGATGTGTAATTGAAGCTCAATGTCAACACGACTTGGGTGGTGGAATTGGAGTAGACTCGAGGGATCTGTTTCTAGAGTAGCTACTATTTCTTAAGCTGTGTGCTTGGTGGTGTTCACGTTTGTGTTTGAGCTTTAATTACACCTGCCTGCATTTTTATAAATTGAATGCCATGCAACGAAAAATTTGCCGTCCTGGGAAATTTTTGGTTGAACACAAAATTTAAGTGCAAGGTTCCTATCAAGTTCTGCTGCTGGCAGTTTTGTTCATGTTCATGTTCAGGTAAGTTTGGAGTTTCTTTCAATTGTATGTTACATCCCAACTTGATGGATGCTGGAGCTTCAGACCTAAGTTTTGAAGGCCTAGTCGGAAAGTTGTGGGGTTGAAACTCGACGATTCTGAGTGGTAGGTTGATTTATTATGTTACGCATGGTCATCGTGTCACTGTCTAGCTATAGTTAAAAGTGATCTCTCTTGTACACCGCATTTGGCAGGTTCTATGAATGAATGCCGTCGGCATGATCATGATACAAGAATTGCTTGTTGCAAACACGATTTAAGCAGGCATATATCCTCTGTCGGTTGAGTACATAATCTGATTGGCGACTTATTGCATATTGTTTGTACTTAGTGGCACTGGATGGGACTAACTTTTGCATTTTGTTGTCTCTCTTTGGGGGGAAGGGGATGTGTGTGGGTTGTGTACTTGTTGGGGCGCAGCCCCGTCTGCTTTTGTAGTTCAGTTTTTCTCTTGTTTATGAGTTGGTGTGATGTGTTTTGAAGCCTTTGCTGCTTTCTGCCTTTTGGGTGTTTATCACAAATGTCTGAAGAGAATCAAGAAATTGCCTTTTCGGTGTTTTTTATTGCAAACTTTGGATCTCTTTCAATGTTTTAGACGGAAAGTACCACTAGACCGAGAGCTGGATGGCGACTTTACTTGCACAAAATAAAAATTGACAGGAATGCCGATGAGCACGTAAGGTGATGACCCTCATCTTGTTTAGTGGTCATCTGCAGAACATAAATGGTGACGCTGAGACGTCACTTTTAACAAAAGTAAAACCTTGTTATATCAACTATATCAATGACATGGCCTGAAGAAAGCTCGGCTTCAATTTAGCGGAAAGTTTGGACTTAAATGTTATTTTTGGGTCTAAATATTGTTGAATAAAGTAAAAGGTTTCACATTGGTCATCATATTGTTAAATGGTTCAGCTTCTAATTCGAGACTTTTGAGATAAAATTTACTCTTATTGGGTTTTGTGTGATTATGTTGGAAGTCTATAGGTGTTGGATCATTTGGCAAATCTCTCTTAAAATTTAGCATGGTATCAGAGCGTATTTTCAGATCTAGGCCTAAATTAGTGGGGTCACTTACAAATATGATCCATGTAGCTCCACACATGGCTACTCCAAAGTGTATGAACGTGAGGGTTCGTGTTAAATAAGGCAAACAGTTTTACGTCAGTCATCTTACAAAAAAAGTCACAACTTATATTGAATAGTTTAACTTCCAGTTGTGCTGAGGTCTTTAGGGATAAAACCCCACTTTTTGTGCTATAGGTGGTTAAGTTGGAGATAATATAGGTGTTGTACTATTTGGCACGTCTTATTTTTGAAGGTCAAAACACGAATATAAATTTCATGTCAAGTGTAGTTTGTGGATCTCGAGTTAAAATTGAGATTGAAACTTCCGTTTCAGTTGTAATTCACGACAATGGGTCTGTAATTCAATTGGTTTATAACATTTGCTTTATGCACTTAAGATGCTGAGTTTGATTCGTTCTCCCTAAATATTGCATTTATAATTTTTTTTAAAAAAAATTGGAGCTCATGCAAGTTAAATTTGATCTCTAAGAGCATCTTTAATGGAGATGTCAAAAGATAAATGTGAAATGTTAATTTGATGGTTGACGTGGTAATGTCAGATTTTTTCTTTTTCCAACTGATATATTTTTTTGTTATAAATGATATTTGTAAGACCTATTTTAAAAAGAAATCAATTAAAATAAAATTTCAAAATCTATAATTGGTGCATTAACGGGACTCACACAATAAAATAATTAAAAATTATTTGACACCACCTTTTCTCGAGCATTTCCAAAGGAGATGTCAAATTTTAAGTATAAAATTTGAATTTGACGGCCTACGTGGTACTTTGACATTTTTTGAAGTTATGTTTTCTACCAGATATGTCAAATTAAATTATTACTTTATTACACTATTTTCTTTTCATGTTCATTTTATTTTTTAAATGTGAAACGAAGCCCAGCCCCTTCTTTCTGGAAATCTCTTGATTCCAAGATACTGTGGAAAGGGTGGAGAGTGGGAAGGAGAAAGACGAGAGGAACTGTGGAATGGGAGAGAGAATCTGTGCACAGACAAGAACACGAATTAATTTCCATTGCAGAGAAAAAATCCAACTATGACGACCACGACGAAGAAGGGAGGAGCGGATTTTACCTTTTGGCCTGCAACTCCGTTTGCAGGTGTGGTGATGGACTCCATGGACTTTCTTTCTCGGGACTGCAGCGAAGATCGTGAGGTTTTAGGTTTGTTTCTGGGTTTGGTTCCCAGAAAGGGAAGAAGAAGGATGAGCGGCGACTGAGATTCTAGGTTCCAGTGAGAGAGGAGAGTTGAGATTTGATAAAACTTTAATAAAGAATTAAAAAAATATTTGAAGCTACTGTCAAATTTGTCAGCAAGAGAGAGAGATGCTATTTTATGTCATGCCACGTTAGATTTGGCTGCTTGGGTTGAAAAATATTGTTGGTGTCTTTTTTTACCGTTATTGTTGATTTGGATATTTTAACATTTTCTTTGGAGATGTTCTCATATTTCAAATTGGACATTTGAAAACTCATAGGATTGACATATCGGTTGAAACTTGTTCTTACCTTTAAATTTGATTACATAACATTCCACTTATAATTTAACATCTCATTTGAAGATGGTCTAATAGAATGTTTGAGTGTTGATTTCAATTCTAAGCCAATTTGTTAAATTTTAAATTTGAATTCTTACTTTATGGAAAATAAGAGGGTCCGTATCATTAAAAATTAATTTAATAGTTGAAGTTAATATAACTTTTAAATTTGATTCCTATTTGTAGCTATTGTATCAAATTTTAACTACACAAATTTCTTAATTTGTGGATTAAGAGAAAGGAATGAGGATCCCTTTCCTTACTTTATTGCACATTACGAACATTAAACCAAATTTTAGTTTTACGATAATGACCTCATATCGGGATCTGGATTCTGATAGATATCTCCTTGGACTTGCATGAAATCTAAATCAAAGTTGGCATCTGCTCAAACCAATGCGATGTCATGTGATAAATCGAAATCAAGTTGTGTCATATCATTGGTGAAAGAAACTTTGTTGGGAATCTTGGGATGCGGCGCATTCCCAAATGCAGTAAATTAACTCACCTCACCAACCCATTCCTAATCGATCGTACACGTTCTGAAGAGAGCCATACCAATTAATTTAGAGATATGCTATCCACATATTTTATTTTATTTCTCACATACTCTTTAATAATTTTTGTCCGTTGATCTTCTTCAATTCATCCGATCCAACGGTTAAAAATTAAAAATGTGTGTGAGAAGTAAAATGAGGTTTGTGGACAGGGCGGATCCATTATAGGACCTGGGTGGTCCCATGACCCTCTGGAAGATTAGAGAAGCATCTGTGAAGATCATTGAGGACCACACGAATGCCAGGTCCCGTGCTGGTTTTGGAAATCCATGAATTTGCAGGGCACCACCTAGCATAATTTAGCGAAGAAGAAGAAAGTTTAATATTGTTACACAAATGGTATGATATGTTTGCTAAAAAGTTAATAACTTAAAAAATAAAATTTCTCACTTATTTTATTAAAACATGTGGTGTACTACTTATATTTCTGTCACAATTAAAAGTTTCTCCTAACCTAAACGGTGCCATTTTGACTTTTGAGTCAGGCCATTCAAAAAATTAAAACTCTTTTTTGTCTACAAACCCGAGGCCTAACTACTTGTCATGCATTTCCCTCTTTTAATTAGCACAAAGCCTCAAATCCACCCATCCAATACAAACCTTATCCCGGAACCCCACCACAATTATTCCACCTCTATCTTTCCATCATCACCTCATTACAATATTGAATTTCAAATAAATTTTATGATTTTGGTCTTATGTGTATTAGAGGAAATATTCATATGATTATTGTGATGTAGTTTATGATTTTGTTTTTTATAACAATTTGATCATTGTTGGTTAATTTATAGAGAACTTTTATCTATACTTTAAAAATCACATTTTGCACTCCTTGTAAGTGTAGATTTTTTTCTCATTTTAGAAAGTTATAAATGTAGATTATATATATTATGTCTTTGTCAGTTCATATGATTTTTTATTTTGATCAGATCAAACAATCTGATCTTGGAATGTTTCTCTCTAACATCAAATAGTAATTTATTGTAAAAAAATTCAATGCTATTTTCGTTTAAGTTTTTTTGAAACTTTTACAATTAGGACCACCCAATGTTGAAATCCTAGATTCACCACTGTGTGTGGATATCACACCCCTTAATTTAAGAACAATATTTGGTTATAATAGGAATTTCCATTTAAAATTTCTCAAAATTATTCGTTGTCTATTTATAGAATTTTGTGTTTATAATCAAAACCGTTTAAATTATAAATCATTTATAAAGATTGTCTCAACAAAAAATCAATTAAAAATAAGAAAAACTAATGAAAAGAGCTTGAAAACTCTGAGTTTTAATCAAAGGACAAAAATGTGTTGTAAGTGAATAGCATAAGGAGTTATTTTTTAGAGTAAAAATATCATTTTTCGTTAAAGTGAACAATACTGGGAGTGTTTCGTTAAAACTCCCTTAAAAATAAGGCCGTTTAGTCATTAAACTGTTTGAAAACAAATGAACGGTATTGGTAAAAGTATTTTGAACCATCTATGTATTTGCTACAATAAATTGATTAAACAACCTTAGCTTTAATTTATTTTTGGCATGAATGATTTTTACAATGTGATTCATAATATGAACGGTTCTGATGATAAGTACAAAGTTATGTAATTAAAACACTAAGAATTTTGAGTAAGAGCTCCTACTTATCTTTAAGTAGCTAAATATTGTTCCCAATTTAAAAGCACATCAAATCCCGATAAATAATGCACCATGAAGGGTGATGGGGATGGATCTTTAGGCTTCGATGTTCTTTGGATTATGCACCCATGCAAAGTCACATCCAAATCTAAGAACCCTCTCTAAATTACTCGTTTTCTTGCTCAAATCCTATTGGACAAAAGACGCGGATTGGACAGTATACTAGGGTTGCTCTACTACTGTGCAACATCTGACACCATTAATACAAGGACTGTTTGGATACAGAGAAAAAGCAGCTTTTCCAATTTCTTAAAACGTGCAACGAGCCAATTACCAGACGGTAGAGTTCTGGGGTTTGCTCTATATGTATGCTTGGCTCAAAGCTTATTCGTCCAAACACTGCCAAGCGGACTTTGTAGTCCAATCGGCTTCTTCTTCTCTACCTGTTTCTAACAGCTTCTTGTTTGGGAAATTTGCTTGTTTTCTTGTTGAAATAAGTAGAGGGGTTTCGTTTCCATTTTCTGCTCGGGAATGTTGTCTTTCTCCTTTGGGAAAAAACCCTAAACTTCAGCCTCCATTTCTTGAGTTTTCTTACAGTTAAACTCTACTTTGATTGGTTGCCCTGCGGGAAAGTCTGCCCTCTTTCTCTTTGCTGCCAAACAAACACATACTCTTCACCTGTATATTGGAACTTCATATTATTCTACTTATATGGTATTTTTCATCTCAAGTCTTGCATGTGGGAACGAGGTATGCAGTGCAGCCAAGGATGACTTGCCGGCAACAATGCTCCCATACAATATTTGTATATCAACCCTAATCTTGCAGATCTATATATGTATATATGTATATGTGCATAGCATATACATATGGGATGTATCATGTATGTTGATGTCATCTCATGCGTATATGCATGATAGATAAGATACATGATCTTGTGACAATGAGTTGATCGGCAAGTCGTCTCTGGCTACATTTTTGCCTCCTTTTCTCATGCTAGATTTATGATGACGACGATAGCAACCACGATCTCGACAATCATGCATGCAGTGACGGTAGTTGTAGTCATGGCAGCATGTTCTCATGCCATAGACCTCAATTTGAAGGGTTAGTTGATCTATTTTTATGGAAATCTCGTTTATTTCTGTATGTACTTAACATTATTCCTTGATCTACAGATTTGGGCATCAGCCACATTATGTACTCGAGTTCGAATTTAGATTTGCCTCTATATATTAGATTAGCTTAATTACAATATAGAATATCGGTTGTATTAGTTAAAGAAAAACATTATTCTTTCATCCGATCTTTTTCTGTACTTTGCAGATATGAGTCGCCAGCTTGATGTATCTAATTTTATGTAAGGTTGCTTGAAGCTGTCTGCCTCGTATATATGTGATGTTTTGAAACTTTCTACATGAAACAGAAGTTAGATAGCTATGGAGCTTTACTGTCAAACTAATATGTCTGTATTTTCACAAGATAGGATATCACAGATTAACACAGTACGACTAGCTTGCAAGTTGAAGGAACTGCCCTTGTCTGCTAAGTTGATGCTTCATTATTCTTACTGGCCATTTTCATGTATATATCTAGCTACTGTATTTATGTAACCTTGATAAGTTGCAAACTTTGCACAATCGTTTTGACTCGGGTAACTTATGATAACTGGTCAATGTTATTTGAGGTAGCTGGGATTGGATTACCTGTTCTCGTAACATGAACGTGTTATATGTGTACATACCATATATTTCATAAATCTATGAAAAAATGGGATCCCGAGTCTCTACATTTAGTATCGGTACGTTTACACGCATTTAGTTAAAGTTCAACCACTTACTTAATCTAGTGGAGTTAACTATTCCATAACACCATATTTATATCAAATTTTAACCATTTGATATTTGTACCGGATCAATTTTATTTATTTAGTTTCAGTCAACATCATTTCTAACATCAAAAGCTATCTGTTGAAAGCAACTAATTTCTCAAGAAAGTATTCCCATATGCAGTTATAATTCTTGATTTGCATCATAATACATAGAAAAAAAAAACATGCAGTACATATAACAAAAGCCCACCAATCCAAATAAGTACTATTAAACAAGCTCTGGATAATACAAATCTCCCAGAAATTTTTTTATAAAGCATATCAAGTAAATTTCAATTACAAAAACGAAAGGGGAAGCGAAAGAAATTTATACAGAGTGATGGAGTGAGCTAGAGAGATACGAGGCCTTCCCTGACCAGCAACCCGAACATGAGAACAAAGAGGCCGACTCCGATGCACTGAGTTGGATAGACGAGAGTTTGAGAATAAGCAGACAAAGTCGCTGCAGCACCAACTATTCCAATCACAAAAGCACTCGACTTCGGATCCATTTTCCTTTTTTTGTCAAGAACTTATGAGGAATGAGAGAATTCGTACACTTTTTGATGAACTTTAACGCTGATATAACTGAAAATTTTGATGGGATGATTAGAGTTCAACAGCAACTGAGGTCAACTACTCTTATGGTTGCCTCTTGCATCCCAATTCTCAAGGGCAATGCTTGCCCCTTGATTTTCTCTAAAAGTGCCACAAGTCAACCCTTTAGGTGGATAATCGATAATTTGATGATTAAATTTTGTTTGCCTCATTTGTCAATATTTTGAGAATTGAGTCCAATTTTTAAATGTTACGTTTGGTTTGGACGGTAATGTCACACTTATCTCTGTAAAAAATCATTAATACTACGTAACTTATAATGCTACGAAAAATGTAGGATGAGGATTGAAGGAATTCAATCAAACGGTTGTGAAAAACATTATTCATCACAGATACAAATTACTGATTAGAATACGGTATCAGGAATTAAGTCGAATTAATCATAATTAATTTAGTAATTATGCTTAAGCCGATGTGAGTTGCGAAATATTTATCGTTTTTTCTTCTATTAATTTCAGGCTCATCCATATGGCTACCAGAATTTGAGTGGGGAGAGGTCTGCAGAATTTTAAACTGCCAGCTGCTTATGCGTTTAGTTTTATTTTTGCAAGATTGCTAAAAGTTTACTCCATCTTTTTCTCTTGTGTATATGATATCGGGGAAAAGGAGTTACGCTCAAGCACGATCTACGTGCAAATGTTGTCTTTTGCGTGAGAAAAGTCGCATACAATACTAGTTTATAAAATGAAAATTTGTCCTTTACAAGACAATCACAAATCCATTTTACTAAAATAGGAAAATCAACATCATTGATACAATCAACACAAAACACAAATGTCTCATATGCCATAATATATAATTCACGTAAAACAACATGATCAACAATTAGAATTTTTTGACAAAAAAAAAAAAGATCAACAATTAGAATTTTGCATTTAGAGGATGAAATTGAATCGAAAGTTGTCCATTTGTGAAGTTTTAAATTGTATAAATATATTGTAAATATTTTTTGTATCAAAATTTGTCTCGGCCGTGTTGATTTCCCTATTTTGAGAAAAGGTTTGTCCTATAACAACTAATTTCCCTAATATAATGGCTTAGAAAACAAAACGACGGACCCTCTTGTCGTTCCGACTTCCACACAAACGCTAACCTCCTCTCATAAACTGCTCACGAGGACCGAGAATTCCCACACTATGGGCCAATGCTATGCATAGATGAGACGAAGAACCACCACCGCCACCGCCGCCACCGCCGCTCTCTGCGATGGGATACTCCAACATTTATATTCTCACTCGCCTTACAGGCCCTATATCAAACAGGTTCCATCTCTTCACACTTTCTTCTCACTCCTCACTACTCACCGCCAATTCTCATGTCTCACGGACCCTTCACCGCCGCCATCTCCGCCGACCCCAGATAACAAAACCCACATAGATTTATCTTCCGTTTGTTGCTCTGGAATTGCCCAGTCTGTGTTTTCGAGAAGTTCCCAATTTTTTGACAAGAACAAAAGCAGAGACTTTGCCAATGCTTCTCTGAAAGACCTTCTTTTGGAGATTTATGATGTGGTGCCCGAATACACTCGTAGAATTAGGCGGGTTTCGGAGCTAAAACCTGAAGATGTGCTCGGATTATTACTGGGTTTTCGATTTCAGTGTGGGAGAGTTGGGTTTGAAGTTAGAAAGGTTGAGTCTTTGTGGGAGATTTTCAAATGGGTTAGTGGACAGAGTAAGGGTTTTAAGCATTTTTCGGAGTCGTATGTGATCATGGCCTCGATGCTTATACGAGTGGGGTTGCTTAGAGAAGTTGAATTCTTGCTTTCCACAATGGAAAACCAAGAAATTGTATTGAGTAGTAATGAAGTTTTCAGTGATTTGATTGAAAGGTATGTTAATGCTGGTGAATCAGAAAGGGCCATTTCGATGTACGACCGAATGAGGCGGCATTTAGTCCCTTCGTTATCGTGTTATGATGCTTTTCTTGATCATTTAGTTAAAATGAAGAAAACTGAATTGGCTGTTCGAGTTTGTTGGGATATGGTGGAATTGGGTGCGGATTTGAGAGGTTTGAAGGAGGGTACGGTTGAGAAGATCATTGGATTGCTTTGCAGGGATGGAAAGATACAGGAAGCAAGAAATCTTGTGAAGAAGGCTATGGCTTTTGAGCTCAGGCCTAGCAACTCAGTTCTGTATGAAATTACTTGTGGTTATTGTGAGAAGAAGGACTTTGATGATCTGTTGAGTTTCTATGCCGAAATCAAGTGTGCACCTGATGTTCTGGCTGGGAATAGGATTATGCATTCTCTATGTAGCAGTTTCGGGACAGGAAGGTCAGAACTATATATGCGAGAATTAGAACATTTAGGCTTCAGTCCTGATGAGTTAACCTTTGGGATCATGATTGGCTGGAGTTGTCGTGAACGAAAACTCAAAAATGCCTTCATTTACTTGTCAAATATGTTGGCAAGACAACTAAAGCCCCATAAGTATACCTATAATACTCTTATCAGTGGGGTCTTTATGGGGGATATGTGGAAGCATGCTGGGGAAATTTTTGACGAGATGGTGGATAGAGGGACAAAACCTAATCTATCGACTTTCAGAATTCTCTTAGCAGGCTATTGTAAAGCTAGACAATTTGATGAAGCGAAAAGGATAGTTTTTGATATGGCAGGCCACGGATTGGTTCAAAACTCTTCAGTAGAGGATCCACTATCGAAGGCATTTACAATTTTAGGATTCGACCCATTAGCTGTGAGATTGAAGAGAGATAATGATGTGGGGTTTTCTACAACGGAGTTTTATGATAGTCTTGGAAATGGACTTTATTTGGATACAGACTTGGGTGAGTATGAGAAGAGAGTCACTGAGATCCTAGAAGATTGCTTGGTTCCCGACTATAATTCACTTATGATGAAAGAATGTGCTCTTGGAAATTTTAAGAGTGCGTTGATGTTGGTTCATGAAATGGTTCAATGGGGGCAAGAATTGTCTTTTTCTGCCTTCTCTGCCTTGCTGAAAGGGCTCTCTGCTTCCCCTTCGCATATCAAGGAAATTGCCAATATTGTGGATAAAAAGCGTCACTTGGTAAATCAGCTAGACGAAGAAATTCTAAATTTTATTGTCCAAGCATACATCAAGAAAGGATTGACATCTGATGGGTGGAGAATGTTGAATGAAATGTTCCAAAGGCATCTGAAAATCAATAACGAGACTTATACTGCTGTAATTAAAGGTCTATGCAAGAGAGGAAACTTGATGGAGCTGCATCTTTGTTGGGATTTTGCTCAACACGACAGATGGTTGCCAGGGTTTGAAGATTGTAAAGCTTTAATAGAATGCCTTTGCAAGAAAGAAATGATAACAAAAATGGTGCAGCTTCTTGAAAGTATGCTTGTATCCTTCCCTCACTCAAGGTTAGATGTATGTCATATGTTCATAGAAATTCTTTCCATTCAAGGTTTTACAAGAACTGCGCATGTATTGTTGGAAGAACTTGAACAGCGTGGTGGCATCCTCGATCATATGGCTTATAGGTATCTTATAATGGGATTGTGTAAGGAGAGAAAGTTTCATGTAGCTTTTACGATATTGGACAATATGCTGGCTAGAAATTTGGTGCCATGTTCGGATGTTTTAGTCCTATTAATTCCTCAGTTGTGTAGGGCTGGTAGGTATGAAAAAGCCATTTATTTGAAAGAGATTGGTCTAAAAGAGAAATCTTATTCTCCGCTTACCATTGATCGTGCATTATTCGAAGGCTGTTGTATTACAGGGAAAGTTGGCGAAGCAACCACTCTAATACAGAGTATGGTAATGAAGGGGCTACATCCGGATGCTGAAGTTTACAATATTCTGGTTCAGGGTCATTGTAAGATTAACAACTTAAAGAAAGTGAGGGAGCTACTTGGTATCATGATAAGGAAAAGTTTCAGCATTTCATTCTCAACTTTCCGCAATTTGGTGCGGTTAATGCGTGTGGAAGGTAGGGTTCTTCATTTGTTGAGTCTGAAGGAGCTCATGCTTGGACAAAGTGAGCGTCATGGTCTCACCATTCACAATATTACGATTTTCTATCTTTTCCAAACTGGGAATGCTTTGCTTGTCAATAAAGTGGTAGATCATTTGCAAGAGGAAGAATTGCCGCTCGATGAAGTAACTTACAATTTTCTTGTTTATGGGTTTTCTCGGTGTAAAGATGTGTCAAGTGCTGTGGACCATTTGTGTACTATGATCTCCAAGGATTTCAGGCCAAGCAACCGCAACTTGAGAATAGTTATAACCAGCTTGTGTGGTATTGGCGAGCTTGAGAAAGCCGTGGATTTGTGTCGAGAAATGGAATTGAGAGGCTGGGTTCATGATTCAATCATTCAAAATGCGATTGTTGAGGGCCTTCTTTCTCAGGGTAAGCTTAAAGAAGCAGAAGGTTTTCTTGACAGGATGGTAGAGAAATGTCTAGTTCCTGAAAATATCAACTATGATAATCTAATTAAACGATTTTGTTCGTATGGAAGACTGAGCAAGGCAGTTGACCTGCTAAACATAGTGTTGAAGAAAGGAAATCTTCCGGCCTCTACCAGTTATGATTCTGTCATCAGCTTTTGCTGCGTGGTTAATAAACTGGACCAAGCTATGGATTTTCTTACTGAGATTTTGGACAGAAATCTCAAGCCAAGCATCAACAGTTGGGACATTCTTGTTCACAGTTTATGTCGGGATGGACAAACTGCAGAAGCAGAACGGCTTTTGAATTCTATGGTTTGTGTGGGCGAACCAGTGACGAGGCAGATATATTTGTCTGTAATTAATAGGTATCGTTCAGAAAACAATCTCAGGAAGGCATCAGAGCTCATGCAAAAAATGCAAGAGAGTGGTTTTGAGCCAGACTTTGAGACACACTGGTCTCTCATAAGCAATCTAAGCAATTCTCGTGACAAGGACAACACAAACAGCGGAGGGGGTTTCCTGTCAAGGCTTCTCTCTGCAAGTGGATTTTCCTGGAAAAAGAATTCATAACAAAACTTTGATAACACAGTAAGTAATCATTCATTCATTCTTTTCCCAACACCACATTTGTAATTCCCGTTTAAGTCGCGTATGACCTTAACTAGTTTCCATCTTTAGATGCTTTGGTGGTTGATAGAACTATAGACTATAATGTAAAATTAGGTCTCTTATACCGTGAAATGTATATGACTGAGTTTGTCGAACCTGAAAGGAGTTGTACAATACGTGTGCAAGCATACCGTGCTGTAAATGTAACACCCGTTTCTACTAAAACCGCGTTTTGAATTTCCCTTCTTGAATAGGGTGCTTCTCATGGTTATGAACGGAAAACCGCAGGCATACAGCAAGCGATTTAGCCGGAATTCTTAACAGAACTCAAAAGCTGTTGATTGTGCTTATACAGTAGGGCAAGACGCAGTTGTACGTACAACATTGTAAGCTGTATTGTGTGAGTGGAGTAGAAAGATAAGCGAGAGGTGGCTTATTTTTCCAGCATGCAGGCGCAGGTTTTGGTGTTGAAGGATAATATAAAGTAGGAAAGCTTACCAACTCTTCAGTAACAAAACCGACCGTTGATATATACCATTGTTGTGGAACATGGTGGGGAATTTGGAAAATTGTAAATGGAATTAAAAAAAAAAAAACCAAAAGGTTCTAGATCCAACATCTAAGATTTGCATAATTTGGTTCAATGGAGTAGAGAAACTCTGGTGATAAATCTTATGTCATGGCTGTAAAACCGAGGAAGTTTTTGGTGTGACGATAACACGTTCTGGTACATCAAATGTCATAAGACAAGTAGTTGAATTTTTTTTTTCTATGTATCCAACCACTTGTACCATAACACTTAGTGTACATGGCCGTGTTCTCGGCATACAGAAAAATCTCTCGTAAAAATAGAGTAAAGTTATTTTTATTATTATTAATTTTTATTATAAGTGATAAATACCTTTAACTACTTAAATTACAAATTTTTTGCAAGATTAAGTAGAGTTAACTACTCATTTTTGGGTTAATAATTTCTTTTTATATTTATGCGATAGTCTACACTAATTAATTTAAATTACGAGGCAAACTTAAGTGGCGAAGGGAAGAGCACACAACCATGGCAACATGGTTAAACGGCCTAGTTATGTCAATATTACAGTTGCTACTATGACCTTTCAGCTATATTTGAGGAAATCCACTGCGGTTTACGGTGCCTTCTTTTTCATATATACAAAGATAATTCATGCTTAGAAATGAGAAATTTAGGTTAAGCTACACAATAACACAACATAATCAATTGATATCAAACTTACTATTTAAAAGAATCAAACATAAAACCTCCTACTTACAAGTAAAAAAAAATCACTATACCAATTAAAATGCACATATATCGTGTGTATCTATATTACTAAATAGTTTAATATGCTTCAAGAATGGATATAATTGTTGATGAGACGTGCGCACCTTTACGATAAGGGCAATCATTGACCAACTCAGTTTTCATGGAAAGGGATTATCTCCGATCCCTTTTCCTTAATCCACCAAATCAAAGGATCTGTGTCATTGAAATTTGATTCAACGGTTGAAGTTATTATAACTTTTCTAGCGGACTCTTGTTTGTAGTCATTGGATCAAATTTCAATGACACGGACCTACGAAAAAAGGATCCGGAAAATATCTCTTCCCAGTTTTCATGCCCTTTGTAGTCTGCAGGTGTCTAACTGCCCCCAAAAGTCTCAAATTTTCATATCCCATGCATGTTACCAATTTTGTCGTTGATTCACTTTACCAAATTGGGGTCAAATTTGGTGCAGTTGGAGTTGTGTGGTGACCTCGTAATCGCTCTAAAATATTTGTATAACAGAGCAAGTACGAGTAGGTTATCTTTACACTGCATAATTCATGTGTTCCGTCCGCCCAAAACCTTTTTCATTTTTTATGAATTTTTTCAGGCCCTGATGCCAACGTAGAGAGACTTTATGAGTTTTTTGCATGCATATATACACCCCTTCAACTCCTCTCCCATGCATACCAATCAGCTTCCACAACTCGAGTTTGTAAAATCGATTAAAAACCGTGTGTCCAATCCAGCACAAAAAACATTAACATGAAGGCAGGAGCAGCTATTGAGCTTGGTCGTGGTGAGTCCAACTCCAAAGGGATGACTTCGACCGCTGCAAGGGCAGGGGTGAACCGAGGAGCGTCTATCCTCGACTTCATTCTACGTATAGTTGCGTTTCTTGGGACGTTGGTGAGCGCAATCGCCATGGGAACCACCCGGGAGAGGCTTCCTTTCTTCACTCAGTTCCTTCAGTTTCGGGCTGAGTACGATGATCTTCCCACATTCACGTATGCGTTCCTCACCATCAACTTTTCTGTGTTCATTAAATAATACCCTTATGGCACATAAACTATAGTGAAGTTCTTTGCTTCTTATAAGAACAGGTTTTTTGTGGTTGCGAATTCCATCGTGTGCGCATATCTGGTGTTTTCTCTAGCCCTTTCCGTCTTCCACATCATAAGAAGCAATGCTAAGAAGAGCAGGATTATCTTGATCTTCTTCGACACGGTAATAGCTCATTACGATTTTGCAAGTTTACATCAAACCATCCATTACGCTTAAAGTTCGCTTAACGGAAGTGAGTTTTTATACCGTTGTGCAGGCAATGCTTGCTCTTCTGACGGCAGGTGCCTCTGCAGTAGCAGCTATTGTTTACTTAGCACACAAGGGAAAGGCCAAGGCGAATTGGTTCGCCATCTGCCAACAATTCAACTCCTTCTGCGAGCGCATCTCTGGATCTTTAATCGGATCCTTTGTTGGAGTTGTTGTCTTCATCCTCTTAATCTTGCTGTCAGCTGCGGCCCTTTCCAGGCGCTGAGAGTTTCACACATAAGTACGCTTCGTGCATCAGTTCGTTGTTTGAATTTGCTCGACTCACGTGTCATCTACGATGTTTGTTCTTCGATTTGATATGAAATTTATATTGTGTTAATGTATTCCGTTTCCTTTTCCTTGCCAAATTATTGTATCTCAATTCGACTGCAAATTTGAGTTTGTATAACAAGTGTGACCTAATGTTTCTCTTAAATTTTTCATGCATCTCTAGTTACTACAGTACGCATCATTCGAAAATAAAGAACGCACTAAATTGGAGGCAAACGAAAATGGGTATCCACAAAAGGGTTCGAACTCATTCCCAAACCAGATAAGAACTTCTGAGAAGAAGCAAAACTTGGTTAGCGCATATCGATTGTAATTGCCATTTTCGCAGTCTAAAACTTTGTGTGTAAGTTGAGTTTTAGATGTTAGGATCGGTTCTAACTTCTACGTACTCAAGTTATTGAAGATCAAGCTGGCCCAACTTATGATCGTTGTTCTAGGGTAACTGAGTCACAATCTTAAGTTTAGAACGGTAAGTGAGACTTAGGGACCTACATGCATTCTTAGGTGGTTTAGTGGCATTAAAATGGTTTTATATGCTTGTGCAAGATTGAATTTTTGAACAAACGATTAAGGGGAGGGGGTGGGCGAGCAATAATGTGGTTCAAATTCGTGTTTGGCGAGAATCAAACCGAAAACCCTACTTACAAGTGAAAATGGATACCACTAGACCGTAATACTAAGTGCCAGGTTAATTTATATAATTATATCAGCTTTTCTTTTATGACTGCAATAATGCAGTACTGCTGACTGAATGTTATTTGCATTCCGCTCAATGCACTTGTTGATCACAACTTGTTTTTTCTAATTTCGCTGCATGCTTGATCAACGTGACTAATAATTAAATTTTGCAAAAATTGAATTAAGCCTAATCAAAACAACCCCCTAGGGTTTGTGTTAAAACCTATTGCATTAACATTGAATCCCCGGTGTTTCTAACGGGACTTAGGTTTGGAGTCGAACAAAAAATGCATGAGAGAGCTGTTATCTGCTTCAACTAAGCTACAGCCAGCCTCCTTCTTCACCCCACTGTCATCCATGAGCTTTCTCACCTCTTCAACCCCTTGCCACTCACCTCGTGAAGCATATATGTTCGACAGTAGCACGAAATCCCCACTCTCGTCCCTTCTCATTTCAAGAAGCCGCTCATTTGCACGCCTTCCCAGCTCAACATTTCCATGAACTCTGCAAGCCCCAAGCAAAGTCCTCCAAACAATGGCATTGGGAGCAATCTCCATTTTCTCTATGAACTCAAAGGCTTCGTTTAATATCCCGGCACGCCCTAACAAATCCACCATACACCCGTAATGCTTTATGTTTGGCTCGATTCTGTAAACAATCCTCATGAGATTGAAATATCCGCGCCCCTCTTCTACTTTCCCGGCATGACTGCAAGCAACCAAGACTCCAACAAACGTGATCTCGTTAGGCCTGACTTTCAGCCTTCGCATCTCTTTGAACAGATTAACCGATTCCTCAGAGTGGCCGTGGAATGCCAACCCTCCTATCACCGAATTCCACGACGACACATCCTTGTCCCTCATCCTCCGGAACACCTCAAGTGCCCTTTCGATACTCCCACACTTAGAATACATATCTATAACCGCATTTCCAAGTATGATGCTCATATCTCCCGAACCCATCTCCAAAAGAGCGGAATGTATCTTTTGCCCTACGTCCAAATCTCCAATATCCGCGCATGCAGACAAAAGACTCAACATTGTCACTTCATCAGGCTTTTCTCCCAGACTTCTCATCTCCTCAAACATCTGCAATGCCTGCTCATTCGATCCACAAAGTACATAACCCGCAATCATTGCATTCCAAGTCACCACATCTCTTTTCGGAACCTCATCAAAGAGCTTCCTTGCACTCTCCATCTCCCCTTGCTTTGCATACCCCGTAATCATAACATTCCAAGAAACCAAATCCTTAAAAGGCATTTCATCGAAAAGCCGCCTAGCCACATCCAGCTTCCCTCTTCTTGCATATCCTGCTGTCAAAGCTGACCACGGCACAACATCCCTTTTCGCCGAGTCATCAAAAAGCGCGCTCGCAATCCTCAAATCCCCACAATTAGCATGAAAATAAATAAGGGTATTCCTCACAAACGTATTTGACTCGAACCCGAACCTCACAACCTTCCCATGAATCCCCATTCCCATCTTAACCCAAGAAAGCTTAGTGCAGGCCTTGAGTACAAACGGGAAAGTGAAACCATCAGGCCTCGCGTGCCGATTTTCCATCCGGGTATACAGTAAAACCGCATTTAAAGGGCATTGGCTCTGAGCTGAGCCTCTGATCATGGTGTTCCACAAGAAGTTGTCTGGTTCTGACACATGATCGAACACCTGGTGGGCATAATCAATTGTGCCCGAAATAGCCATGGCGCCGCAGAATATGAGTTCACGTATAGCAGAATAGTTCGAATTGAAGCCGTTGACCACCATGGAAGCGTGGACTTGCTTGAGAGCTCGGAGGTTGGTGCATTTTTGCCAGAGGCTTGACCGTTGCTGGCGGTTGGTGCTCCTGTCATTTGGTCTCTTTCGGATCATTACAGACAGCTTCGCCGCTAGGACTCATTGGAGGGAGCCGAAGAAGAATGGGCTGAAGATGGACTTTAAGCTCGGATTTTTGGCCCATTTAATATTAGAATGGACCGGCAATCCAAAGTTTTAGGCTCAAATTTATTTATTTATTAATTTTTTTAGAACATCAATATTTTTTACATTAAGAGGAGGGAGAGTTGGGCTAAGCCACACAATGGGCAGCCTAATTTGGTATCGAATTCATCATCCACAAAATTTGAACCTAAGATCTCTCACTTCTAAGCAAAGAGGAATACTACCAGACCTAATAATATATATTAGGCTCAAATTTATTAAAACCGGGATATGCAATGTGGGAGAGAGTGAGAGTTTGAATAGTTGGAATAGGTGTGGCAGAAATTTTATGTGAAGAATGACTTTGTTTTGCTAAAGCACGGATTTGTATTTGATTGTGTCGATTATCAATAACTCATAGACACGCTTTAGAAACAATATGTTATTGATACTTTAGGGGCACTATATCAACCATCTGCGTATGAACTGGTTCGTGTTTATTAGCCAAATGTTTTATCATCGTAGTTGTTAGCATCACCATGCCAAGATCTAGTTTATTTGTATCATTTGTGGGTGTTGTGTTGTATAGTATAGGGTAGAAGTGGAAATGGATAGTGTTTGAGTTTACCTATTTATAATTGTATCAACCGATGAGTTGATTAACGCACAAAATGATACAAAAGTAATAATATAATAATATATACAATAATGCCTACTATTCATCGGAAATGAATTTTTTTAATGATTTTATTAATGTTATAATATTCAACAATGTTAGCTATGTCTTTAACGTGTTCACATCGTATTTTATGTTCATGTGAATTTCGAATTATGTAGCGTGTCGTGTTTAGAATTGTAATTCCTAATATAGACGGTAATGTGCACTTGTTCATAATCCTTATGTGTATCAAACAATAATTAAGTCAAGCACAAATAATTGTGAAAAAAGAAATCAAACTTAGGTGGTAACAAATCTATGAAATAATCACACTACAACTGCCTCCTACATAAGAAATTGTTTCAAATTTGTCCCCAATGGTCTAACATGACAATTTCGTCAACGGTACAGTCTTAATCATCCTGATTTCTCAACAGAAACATGTTCGTGATAATTGCTCAAACACTTTGAAAATTTTAAAGAAGAACTAATGTTGTATTTTTTAAAGAGAAAAAAAAAAAGAGAGAGAAAAAGAAGATCAGCGTTTCTCTCAGATATCATATATAATTTCGAAACAAAATTTTTAATAAGGTAGTTCTGATAGCCACATTACACCTTAAAGAATAGAGTTAATATATTTAATTAGATATGTTTTAGTCACACAAGACTAGTCACTGGGATATAGTTATAAATAATATCCTTCAACAATATTATATGATGAATATAGGTGCCACATTTCTTGGATAAGTAGTTGTTGACATCATTTTTTTTATCTTTCCTTCTGAATTAATTAGTAAGTTTTCTTCTCTTGATTCCACAATGTAGATGGCAAAATTATTGAGCATGCCCAGTTGGGATCTAATAAAAAAGTGGTGGATTTCACTATGGTATTTTGTGTCTCGTCATGTGATTATTAGTCTAATGATTACAAGGTGATCCAGTAGCTGGAGATGAATTATAAGTTCATAATTCACACGGTACGTCTTACGTTCGATTCTTGACACTGGTGAACCACCCGATGGTGGTTAGAAGACTGAAATGCTAATGTGGTCACCCCTGAAAATGAAAACTGCCGTGGCAAAGCTACTAGCTAGTCCCTTTTAAAGGAAATACTATTATTAGAGTCCGAAATAATACGTGTAGTAAAGATATTTGATAATGTTTTAACCGGTTTATTATCTGATGGTTGTTAGGTCCTAACCTTTTTTGTGTCCTTCGTTTCCAACGATCATAACTCTCTCAAAGATAAGTTTGTAGGTTCTTGATGCACCAAATGCATTCAAAGATAAGTGAGAATTAAGTGGGGACTAATTGTTCCCACTTTTGATTAAGTGGGACAAGTTCAAAAGCATCCGATGAACCTGTCCCGATTTGTTTGTGAATTGCTTGTATTTGGTCTGATTAATGAGATACTTTGAATCATGTTCCCAAAAGTTCTAATTAGTCCATATAAATATCCCAAATCGTTTGATTTAGGTGCACTAATTCCATCATTAGCCCAAGTTTGAGCACCACTGTAGCCTATAGCTAGATACCTAAATTAATTAGAGTGCCCTTAATCTATACAAGATCAATTATCAACAACTAATTAAATCTGATATTTTGGGTGTAGCTAGATGCCATGGCAATTATTCCACCTTGAAAAGAAAAAAGAAGCAAATGTATATGGTAACTAGAAGTACGTGATGAAAAGAAGCCATTAGTCATATAGTAGAGAAGTTTTTGGCATGATTATCAATACATACGTCTTATAACATGCGAATTTATTTATGAATATTATAGAAAGGTCCATAACATATCAATTATATTGCTCATTCATATTTTAACACGTAAATTAAGATTAGGCATCGGGTTAAACTTCAACCCATTGGTCAACCAATAGCTTGAATTAGAATTGTTCACACCCATTGTCACTCAAGAAAAGTGGCAACCCAACCCACCAAACCATTCTTAAGTAGGTTGGGTTGGGCGGGTTCCACGGTTGGATTTGATTGGTTTTTTTCTTGTTTCTAGAGTGAGCATCAGAGACAAATAATCAATAGTTACATTAAACTAGGTCAAAATCACGTGAATTTGATGTTATACCACTACTATTCAAATCAACCAGTAATAAACATGTGTATTTAAAAGATTAAATTTCATCTATAAATCTATTTAATATACATGTATGTTTAAGAATTACTCTCTTAGTTTCAATCAGGATAATAATACTTTAATCCAACTCAGCCCACCTAAACAGATAATCTGATTTTTATCCAAAAAAAAAAAGAAAGAATTTTAATGTTTAGAAACCAACCCAGCCATATTCAGTGAATTGATCGAGTTATTGAGCAGACCCACTAAAATAGCATGCCACCCCTAACGTAAATTAGTAATGTCACGTGACAGTATGATTATCCTACTAAAAACATTTATGATAAAAATACATCGGATCTAGGCTATCCAGCATATACTCGTTAATATGAATATGTGGATGGTGGCCCATACAAATGATTTCTATTTATTTCATTTTAGTCATTGTAGAAAGTTGAATCATTTCATTAAGATATCATTAACATTTCATCCTACCTTTAGGAGACTAATCTTATTGGTGGTGAGGACTACTTAGAATAGATTGAACTGTGCTTTACATTTTTTTAATGAAATAAGGATACGATTAACACCAAAAGTAAAACCATTTTAAGGTAATGGTTTGCACGTAGACGCAAAGTATAAGGGTAAAGGAAGACTTAGAAAGATTTAAAAATAGACTCTAAAAAAATATATGGATTACTTAAAGTTAAGATAAGACTTGACACAAAAATAAAAGTAGTAACGTTCTCGAATTCATACAGCTAACTTCTCTTAATGAGATAAGATTTTGTTGTTACTGTTGATTTGACATTCAAATTTTAGCGCAATGATTGAAATACTAATCTCTGTGCCTCCATCCAATGTATTGGTCGATTAGAAGAATAAAAAGAATAGTAAACAATAAGAGAGCAGCTAGGCAGCTGTGGCCTACTCTTATTTTTTTAAGTTTTTGCCTAACCTACTCATTTAATATAAAAATAATAATATTATCTAATGACATTATCAAAACCCATATCTTTACTGAGTCAACATTTCTGCGAAACCCACTTACCCACGTGTCAATCCCATGGGTGGCCTCTTGTCGGAATGGAGGTAGCAGGACCCACAAATGCCAACACAGCACTTATTGTCAGTGTAGCTTCATTTGGGTTTGGCACGAATTTTCCACTCAGCCAATCAGCACTCGCCAAGTTGACGAGTTTGGTTGCTTTTCCGTCGGCAACGGCGGCACGGTCAACTGTTTTCTCGGACGGCGAATGATAGATATTTAGATTGACATGATGATCAAATATAAGTCGTCCGATATGAAGGTTGCTGAGATGATAGGAAACTCTAATATTAGATGAGAGTCCCTACCCCTACGCTTTCAACTGCATTTTAAAAACATTTCCTGAAAAGGAAAGGGGTTAATTTGGAGTATTCAGATTAATTAAGAAAGTAAAAGGTTAATTATATAATTATTGAAAACCAATCACCGGATGGAAATTAATCAACACAGCTGCTAATGAAGCCAAATTTTGCTGGTTTGTTTGTTGGCAGTGAGGATGTAGACAAAATGCACATGCATGTTTAATTTTCATATAATAATGTTTATTTTAGGGAATTGTTATTAGCACTTCAAAAATCTCATCCTACATTTCTTACAAGTGTATTTTTCTTTCTAATTATAGTAAGTTTGGAGTGCAAAATGAGATTTTTGGAATGCCAATAACAATTCCTTTATTTTAATGCATTTTAACCTGACTAAATCAACACATCCTCCTATAAATCAACACATCCTCCTTCTTGTCGTCGGTTGTTATTGTAGATATAGTTAAGTTCTTGTGGTTTCGTGATATTCTTACATAATTTTTTCTTTTTCCTTCGGCTTATGTCCCATTGTCAACTAAAAAAATTGCATTATTACTTGTAAACGCGGGTTTTTAATAAGCTTTTGCGAGTTATTTTATTGAAGTCATAGTGAGATTAAAAAATGATGCTTCCTTGGCCGTGTGGAACATAGATTAGCATTATATCAATTCCTACAAGTGATCACGTAGAATAAGTAATTACGACTTATGTGTTTTCAACATTAAATTAATTGCATGACCTTGGTGTTTATACCTTTACCACATAAAGCATGATTTTAAGATGGAGAAATTAGGTTCTCATCCCTTTTTTTTCAACTCCGTTAATTAAAACCTTATTCATTTTCAATTTTTCATTAAGGTCCGTTGGTTTTAATAAACTTCATTAATTATTTCAATAATAAATTATTCTACATGTCAAGATAATTAAATTTTATTTCTAAATATATTAATTTAGTGTTAGAAACGTTACATTTAATATATATATATATATATATATATATATATAATTTGTTTAATTTGTACCCATTTTAATTTGAAATCTTTTTTTTTTTTTAAATTATACCAATTTTCTGTTCAGTTTTAGTTTGTATACAAAATAATAATAATAACCATGAAAGCCACACTTAAATTTCTGTGAAACCAGCTAGCTAGTCGGGACCAATACGTCATATGGGCAGAGCCATAGGTCTCTCTTTTTTTTTTTTTTTTTTTTTCCCCTCCCCCCCCTCCCCCCCTCTTAATTATTTGCTCAATGACAATCGATCTTGTTGGCAGAAGTTAATCCTTGGATGGGTGTGCATTTGAGGAAATAGAAAAATTACTAAAACTAGTTTGAAAAGTTCAGTGGAGATTTTGATGCACCACCCAATTTTTTTCTAAAATGGCAACCTTTTTTTTTTCCATGAAATTGAATGTGTGACTGGGGTTGAGTATAACTATGGATCATATTTCTTTTTGGTTGATGGGATTGGACTAAATCGCACCATTTGGTTATGGAATTGTTCATGTGTTCAATGTGAGTAATTTGGTTCTATAGATGTAGTACGCTTCAGATTAGATTGATTTCAAGTCACGTTATCATTTAATAGTTGATTAGAGAAAAAAATTGGTACAATTGTGAAAGCATATCGTATGGCGCAATATGAGAAAATTGTTTCATTGCCTAGCGATCCCAAACCCTAAGTGTAAAATGAGTTTAATTAGTCCTAATATATTTGATCATTTCATTGTTTAATGTGATTTCCTACTTACCCATTGGGGGTGATATTTGTAATATTTTTCATGTATTTTTCTATAAATATTCTTTATCAATGGAGGGATTTGAACTTGAAACATTTTTCGATGTTGAAAAAGAAAAATACTATCGGAATAAGAGCTAGTCTATTCATGTATCTAGCTTTTTTGAAGCTTTTAGTTTGGAGGCCCCAAACATAAGGCAACAAAAGTGCACGCAAGGGCTATAACTTCAAGCTGTTTGGCTAATTCAAGTTGAAGCATGCAAGTTCATGACATATATCACACAAAAAACCCAAAACGTATTCCTTGATGGATCATCGTTATATATACAACCAAACACATCACTAGAATATTCCTACCTGCAATATGCATCACCACACAGAGAGATGGTCACTGTTCACACCTAGCTCGCATATATTGGTAAAGAAGTCAGAAATATAATGTCACACGTAGCGTGGTCTCATTTTGTCTACTTGTCCAACAGACCAAGTCCCCTCCCATGATAATAAAATAGAGCTTTTTTATTGCCAAAAAGAAAAATGTTGCAAATAGAAAAGTACTTTTATTATTTTAATACTTTAAGTCTTTAACGTTGGTTTTAATAACCGTTTTGTTTTTATTTTTATTTTATCGGGCTCGTTTGGTACACATAATTGAATGAGAATCCGAAACTTTGAAATTTCATAGTTTATTGATGACAATGGACAGCTTTTTATTTGGATGGGATAAGAAGATGATTTTTTTTTTTTTTTAAGTAGGATATTTTATTCATTACACATACAGATCATGAATAACAAGGACCTAAAGGGTCCTTACAAATTAGATCTAAAAATGTTACGTTAAAGCATCATTAATTGCAAATCAATGAATATACTTCAAGCACTCGTCCGAGCTTGTTAGGAACCGTAAAGTTATACATATCAATAAAACCATTAAATCTCGTATTACGCAGAGATCATGTGAAAACAAATCTCAAATCATATATTGGAACATGGAGTACGATGCCCATGGGTTGAATGATCATCTAATCATTGCCACAATCCCAAAGCAAGTAAAGTAGATCAAGTAAATCAAACAGCTCCACCTTTCACACATAGATCCGAAAGAAGTAGCACACCGAAACGAAAAGAAAATTAATATCGAGCAACTCTCCTATAGAAGCAATCAAACTAGCAAACTCTCATAAAGAGAGAAATCAAAACTAAACTCCAATACAATTCCTAGAAGTTATTAGACAGAAACAAAATAAAAGATAAAATCATATCACCGCTCCACATCCTCCAAACATTTGAAAGCCGTGTCACCTCAATGGCTAAACCCATAATGTCGTTTTGGCTAAACTCAATCCCCATGCAATCTAACATCTTCCATTAATTTAAGCTTCAACTCTACATTATCGATGGTGATAATTAACTGGATCCAAACCTTGTATTTACCATGTGCATGGGCCAAAAAACGACGACTATCATAACAACTATAGTGTTTCATGACGACAATTATATACTAAATAAAGTAAATGAAAAGGAAGAGGGAAGATACCAAGAATGATTTTGAAGAAGGTTGTAGCCGACCTCAAAGCCAAAGCAGGGGCTAGAGCCACATAATTTTACTACGGTTTCTTTGGTTTTTGCTCTAGACAGCTGATTAGCTATATAAAAAAAAAAAAAAAAAAAAAAAAAGGTCATCCTCTCGAATCCTACCATTTTAAAGGAGATTGGAATGGATAAATGTTCCTCGTGAGCAATCCATCTTCACCTTCTCAAGTGTCTTTCTTGTGGTGCTATTTTAATGTGCCCTGTACATGCCAAAGAGAAATAAAACCATTGCAGCATTAGAGGACTTTAGTTAAACAAAAATAACTAACACGGTGACTTTGGGTCTCTGATTCTCTTCTCACCTAAAGTCAATTAAGTACTTGTTCAATAGTCAATTAATTTCGGATTACAGATTAGAGATGAAATTAAGGAAATAATTGTTAATTATATTTTTTGCATGCTTTCCATCTTCAAAGTCATGAAGCATGGAAGGACTACAGAAGAGTTAAAAAGGGAGAGCTGAAAGTTTGAAACTACCCACCAAGTTGCCTTACAACCCACGCTTCTTCTCTCTCTCTCTCTCTCTCTCTCTCAAAAACCAGTATTTAAGGAGGTTCTGAAACTTTGCACACATTTTTTTCGAACAACTCTCAATCTCTCTTAGTTAATCAGAAGCTTTTCAGTTCCATATCATTTTCCTCCCTACTTTTTATCATATAATATCTACTATTCAAGCTTTTGGTAGCCAAGAATCAGTTTGTTATTCCTAGTTCCACAGGATTTTCGTGTCGATTTCTCGAATTTAGAGCTTGTTTGTGAAAACCCAATTGAGATTCAGAAAGGAGTTTTCAGATTATTAGTTGATTCAGTGCCAAAAATAGGGTTTTAGTGGAAATTGGAGAAATGGAAAATACTTCTGGGTTTATTAACGTGGATGAGCAGATGGAACTTCCTCCGGGATTCCGATTTCATCCAACGGATGAAGAGCTCATAAGTCACTACCTCTGCCCCAAAGTTCTTGACAACTTCTTCTGTGCTAAAGCAATTGGTGAGGTGGATTTGAACAAGTGTGAGCCCTGGGATTTGCCTCGTAAGTCCTTTGATTACACCAAACCATATTGTCCTCTGTTTTTTCTCTGTTTATTTTTCAATTTTTATCTAATTTTTTTCTTAATTTGTGTTCTGTGTTTGTTCACTGAAGGGAGGGCAAAAATGGGAGAAAGAGAATGGTACTTCTTCTGTGTGAGGGACAGAAAATACCCAACTGGTCTAAGAACAAACCGGGCAACGGAGGCCGGGTACTGGAAAGCCACAGGCAAAGATAAGGAGATTTACAAGGCAAAAACCTTGGTTGGAATGAAGAAAACTCTTGTTTTCTACAAAGGAAGAGCTCCAAAAGGTGAAAAGACCAACTGGGTGATGCATGAATACAGATTGGACGGCAAAAACTCTGCCTGTAATCTCCCCCAAACAGCAAAGGTATCAATCAAAATCTTGATCTGCTTTCCTCTCTATTTTCTATCGATTTTTTCTCGGATTATTTGTTAATGATTTCTGTTTGTGTTTGTTTTTCAGAACGAGTGGGTGATTTGTAGAATTTTCCAAAAGAGTAGCGGTGGGAAGAAGATACATATTTCAGGTTTGGTGAGGCTGAGCCCCTTCGGGAACGAATTGCGCTCCTCTTTATTGCCACCATTAATGGATTCTCCACCATACAACAGCGACGCTAGAACAACCCCCACCGCCGGCGAAACCTCTTACGTGTCCTGCTTCTCCGATCCACCGGAGGATCAGAAGACTCAGGACGACATTATGGACAGCTTCAACAACGGCAACAACCACCACAACAACGACATTCCTTACGCTTGTTCATCGCCTTCGAATCCCTCATCTGATTTGAACTCCATTTACTCCAACCAAATCACACCAAACATTGGACTTTTGCAGCACCAAAACTCAGTTTTGATGCAGGACGAGTCGTTTATGAGGATGTTGACTGAAAACCAAGCACCAAACTTGAGGCGTAGTGCGAAAATAGAGTTCCCACAGGACGCTGGGCTGAGCATTGATGCTTCCTCAGTGGTTTCAAACAGAGAAATGGCGCAGGATGATCCATCGTATTCTTCCGCTCCTGTAGAATTCGATTGCCTCTGGAATTATTGATCTCGAAGATCGAATATAGTTATGAGTTAAGAGAAGGTTTTTCAGGGATGTATAATTAATATGGTGCTTAATTATTATGTACTTTGTATAGAAATTCTCCATTGAATTATAGAACCAAGGAAGTGCAGCTTGTTGTAATTTGCAGGGATTGATAAGAACATATATACAGTGATGTCTTGGAGATTATTTCCTATTGAATTGACCATGCGGGTTATTTTGCCTTGTTACTTTATCTTATTTTGAAATTTTTATAGAACATAAATGAAAAAAAAAATAAAAATGAAATGAATATGAAGGATTTTGTTACAGTGGCGATATCCTAAGTTGATCAATTATTCTTTACTGTGGCATTCTAGGTCACACATCATCGCCAAAATGTCCTAGATGTAGATAATTTTCCTTTGTGAGTATAGCCGTCCATTGTTTGTGAGAACTTCATTTGTTATTAATTCATAATTATTATGATATTTGGTAGATTAGTTATATAGGAGTAAGTTGGGGTCAAGTTCATTGGTTAGGCCACCAACCAAGAGTTCTCCATGGTGATCAAATTATCAATAACAAATGGCAAGGGTGTAGACTGTCATTGAAAGCATCAAAAGCAATAACATCTTCATGAGCTTTTCAGCGTAAGAAAATTCAGATAATGCTTGTTATCTTTTCACTCTATTTTCATCCATGGATGTATATATAGATTCATTCATTTTCAACATTTAAAAAACCATTTAATAAAAATAATTAAGGGCCTTAATGATATGGTGTCCCAATTACTTTAATCCAATTACAAAAAGCAAAAATTATATATATTCTGCAGACTAATAGTGTAATACATGCAACCCACCTTTTATTATTGTCTTTATTTATCTTTTGAATAGAGGATTTTGAATTTAGAATCCTATATGATGATTTGTAAAGATAATAAATGATTTCGATTATAATATTCGGATGGTAAAAGTTTTTTAAGTGGAGGGAATTATTGGAGGACACAAGCGTTACCTTAATAAGATGGGCCCATCCTATCCCTTGTTTGCCTTTTCACGCTGAATTCTCTTCTCGTCTCTCTTATGCCCCTGATCTCAATTTCAGTCAATCTCTCTCTCAACCTCTATATGGACAGTCGAGATCTCGATTAGATAAACACCCTAATCTGGGCAGCCAAGTGGGTGATCGATTTGTCTCACTTAACCTCAATTTCCCGCCTAGGTGGCATAGATGACGCCAAGGATGTCGCCTAACTAACATCCTGATTTTAGCTAAATTATGGTGACTCAACATCGTCTAGCATCTAGGACGTTACTTAGATGGTTGCTTAGGCCATTGTTTAGAACACTATACAACAAAACACAAAACATTTACATATTACTTTATCAAATTATATTGAAAACTAGTATATGAAACGTGAGTATTTGTTCATGCGTAGTTGCATATATACTTATAGAGAGAGCTAGCAGATTGACATCATAATCGTGTAGATTATATATTATAGTATGTACATATATTATAGTTTATAGCAGCTATTTTAAAGTCATTGAAATATGAAAAGTGCAGGCAATTATTTTGCTTGATCTCCACATCATGACGCGTATGACCTGAATATTCCCAGTTGATAAAGTTGATGAACACTTTTTTCATATTTTTAACGGTCCTTTATTTGAGGAGTGACATAAGACATAACTGTTTCTTTGTAGCATGACACCATGTTATACTGTGGCCAGTTTGTCACCCCAAAAACATCTACATACAAGGAATATATATATCATAATTTCTACCCAACATGTAACTATGTGTGTGTGTGTGTAGAAATAGGTCTCTTTCTTTATTATCATCTACTATATCTTTACAGAACGTTCATTCCTTTTTTTTTTTTACGAAAGTCAATGAAAATGACTTGAAAACTATAAATTTTAACGATAAGGACAAGATAAAGAGTAGAGTGAATAGTATCAGATTTGATTTTTTAGTGTAAAAATATGGTTTTTCGTTAAAATGAACAGTACCGTGGACTTTTCGTTAAAACCCGCTTTCTTTTTTACTTTTATTTTATTTTATTTTAGATTTCTTAGACTGCATGGCAAAAAGCATATATATGTGTTTTACCAGTTGTACAACTGCTGGGGAATATGATAGGAAAACGAGTTGGGAATATGTAACTGTGTTAAGGGTTTAAATTCCTTTTATAATAGAGAAATTCAGACCCTTAATTTCTAAAGTATGTATTCCTAACTATTAGTAATATGGTCTAGTGGTATTCATCTTTACTTGTAAGTAAGAGGTCTTAAGTTTGATTATGGCCAAAGGCGAATTTAAACCACGTTATTACTAGCCAATTGTGAGACTTAACACATTCCCCCACCCCCTTAGTGTAGATTGTTTGTTAAAAAAAAAAAATGTAGTGCTAACTAATTCATTTTACCACCATTTCATATACGCCTAAACGACGCTAACAAATCATACCCAAACCCTTAACGGGTAATTTAGCATATATATATATATATATATATATTTCTAGCTCATGCATTGCTCTAAATTCATAAAATTTGGACGACGCTAGCTAGCAAATTGGGAGAGTCGTACAAGTTTTTAAGGTCCATAAACATTGTAATTTAGTAAGCTCCCACATGATTATGGTCCTCTTGCAAGCCTTGCACGAAATGGTCCATACCATATTCAAGCATGGGAATTGATATAACTAATTAGAGGTTATCTAATCAAGTTTTTTTTTCTCATACAAGTTTCTCAGGTATTTCAAAAGAGACAAAAGTTTTGAGTATAAAAGTTTGAAAGTATATGTGTTGTGTAGAGATCTCAACCTCACATCAGCCATCACGTCTGAATTGTGTTGATAATAAACAGTGCAATTTCGTCAGTTACTGTTGATCATTAGCTGTTGAGTTACGCCAAACAGAAGGATCCAAATACTTTGCATGCTCCCCTCGGCCCTATTTAGTTTGCAACCATTGTGGTCCAAAACTTCACTTTAATTAGGATATGATTTGTAAGAAAAGGATTGGGAAACCATATATTGGAAAAACAAATCTTTTACATTTACATGTAATATTGTTGCATGATAAGTAATTTGCTTTTCTGTCGCGTTCACCTGCCGTAGAAATTCCCCGTCAATGCGAACAAACTTTATATGCTCCTAAGGTTAGTCCAAATGGTGACAGTAAGGTGTCAAAATTTCGTTAGGTTTAACGTTTGACTCCGTACATTATAACAAAAAGCAATTTAAACACTATCATGAAAATGTAAACCCATCTATTCAATAGTTACAGAAATAAATGCAGATTCAATGATATTCATACAATATAAATTTTACTTAACAAATGCGAGTTTCTGAAAGAAAGGGCAATAATATGAAATCAACATTACCCTTTTTATTTTTGAACAGAAAAAAAAAAAAAAGAATAAAAACGAGTGTGCAGATGAAGAGGGAGTTAGGCCGAAGCAGCCATGCAAAAAGGGTGTTAGGCCGAAGCCGCCATGCAAAAAGGAGCTTTGAACGCCCATCTTTATTCCCAACGGTCCAGATCACGTCACATACCACGTAGGTCCCACACACCACCGCTACTACTCGACACGTTGTTCAGTTTTGCTGAACGAGCTTACGTCATCCTTCTTTGCCCCAATTCATCCACCATTCACGTGGCACATCGTCATTCTAGCATCTTCAGTCGAAATGATCCTCACCGGATCCTTTTTATGAGCATCCAGAGATTCTCTAATCACATTCGTTCATTGTATATCGTACGGTCAGTTTTTGTCAAGTACTATTTATATTCACTTGTAAATAAAAAAAATTACAATAATTTATGACCGTACAATGTACAATGAACAAATGTGATTTGAAGATCTCTGAGATCCTCACAAAGAGGATCCGGCGAGGATCCTCATTCTCTTCATTCACCACTAGCCATCAGTTTTCCGAGGGAGGAGAATTATCTCCCCTCCTAATCTCTCTTCCCTTCCCTCTTTTTCTATTTGAACTGTTACGGCTTAGTTACGTTAACAGCTTATATTGATTTTTTTATAAAGACAATTAGACAAAAAACAATATTTGAGAAAAGAGAAAAAAAGAAGATGGGAATAGCAGGAGAGAATCCTACTCATTTTCCGAGACGTTGTTAACTATTCTTCGAGCGTGAACGTGTGCAAACGTAATTACGTAAGTCACTAAATTAATTGGTAATTACTAGGACGAACCAAGGACATTAATCATGATTACCTATGACCATATGTGGTCCTGCATGAGATCACTCACTGATGGAACGATAAATTATAAGAGTTTCGATATTGCGGTAAATTAACATTCAGTCACCAAGAGAGTGTGTTTACATAAAAGTGTCGAGCAAAAGTATCAACATCATTAGTATATAACATTTCAATAAAAAAAAACGTATTTGTGCGTTGTGACGACGATTAACATTACAGACACAAAATTCATCTTTGTATTGCACATAGATATAGAAGTGTGCGGATACTTTTCACACACTTCTTGTTAGTTTATATTCTTTGATATCCTTCAATTCATTAAATTTGACGACCAAAAATTAAAAGAGTATGTGAGAAGTAAAAAAAGGTGTGTGGACAACACACCCTTAGATATATATTATTAGATTGCAACATGTAACTAATCCAAAGAATTACAAGTTGATGATGACAATAATGAATAAGTTGGTGACTAATCAACTTACCCAAATACAAAACAAGCAATATAAGATAAGCCATTACTCAAAATGGTAAAATTTGTTAAAATTGTAGTACTGTGATAAATGATGTGAGTGGATAAAAATTGCATGGAAAATATATAATTAATTACTTTGGGATAAGGTTATAGCTAGTGGTGGTACGTACACAATTCAGGCTTATCTTTTCGTTTCTTCTTTTATGCGCCTGAAGGCAGCTACTTTGTTTTCAACAAGGACTGAAAGTTTACCAATGTGGGGAAGGCTGATATGCTCGACCATAGTCGTGTTCTCTGGATGGATACATTGTATGGA